GGGGTGTGATGGACATGTTAATCTTCAGACACGATCCAGACATTTAGTTTAGTTTTAGTAAGAGTTTTACAGCACTTGCAACACAAAAAGGTCATATATAAGTGCCGAAGATTAGAAGTGTTACAAGAGATTTACTTAACAAACACAAAAAAGGAGGAGTGATCAGAACGATAGATCATGTTCAGTAGGAAAGGAGCAAACCACACTTGAGCACCCGCCAACCACCCACATCCAGACATTTAATAAAAACATTTGTCTCAGTGAATGCAATGAAGGTCCTGTCTGACCTGCAACAAGTACATTTGTGTTTTAAGTTTTAGTAGAGGTTTTATGGCGCTTGCAACTGCATAAGGTCATATGAGCGCCAGAAGATTAGAGGTGTTACAAGAGAGTAACAAACATACAAAAGAAGAAGGAGAGATAAGGACGATAGATGTTTGATAGGAAAGAAGAAGCAAACCACACCAGAGCACGCGCCAACCACCCACCCATTTGTGTTTGTGTGAGTGTGTGTTTGTGTATGTGTGTATGTCTGTGTGTGTGTGTTTGTGTATGTGTGTATGTCTGTGGGGAGGGGGGTGTGTGTCTTCTTCATATGACAATTGGCAAAAAGTTTTGAAATCACAAATTTTCACAAGTTTCTGAGAAAGTTTTGGACTATCTATAGCTCTACGATGGTTAAGTAGAATTGTGTTATTCAGTGAGCAAAATGAAACATCTCCCCCCCCCCCCCCCCCCCCCACAGGGTGATTTAAGTCAGTATTGTATTATACAACTAAAACATACCCGTCCATCTCAATACTTAAATGTACAACTGATACAGGTTCATTAATTTCAGCATTATATTCTTCAAGTTATACATACTCATTAATTCTGCAACCAATATGCTCTCATCTGTTGTGGCATTATATTACAAGCACAACTTATACACACTGACTAATTGCAGTATTATGCTGTACATAGGAGGCAGCTTACACTTATACTGAAGTTGTTGGGACCAAACTCATAGGGTTAGTTCTTATGAAAATATCAGCAATGTTTTCCTCACCACTGCAACTTTTTTCCTCCAGAAGCAATCACAATAAAAAAAAAACAACAACAAAAACTGAGGTGAGCATGAACACTAAAGAGTTGTTATGAGCCAAACCCACAACCAACACAGATTCTCACCATTCAGACTTTAATCAATAAGCACAAATAGAAGACAAAAATACAGGAGCTACAACAAAAAGCTTACTTAATGTATATAAGCCAGATTTCCTTTTATCTAAATCCACTCTGAGAAAACTCTACAGTAAATTGAACATAATAGTTTCACGCCACACCAAATGATGAAAGAATGACGAGATAAGCATCCTACTTAGAGGCAATGTAATCATGGTGCATCGAGGGAATGTCATCAATAACCTAATGTACCAGTAACAAAGGTCAAATTTACAAATACTTGTTTTAAGGTGGGACTGGTGCTGAAAGCTTTCATTTGGGACGATAAATAGATAAATAGATGATTTTATCCCCCAAATATATATTTTTTTTAAAATTTCAGAAATAAAAAAAAGACAGTCATTATGGATATTATTAAATTACATTAATTTTTTGCCTCAAGCTTTTTAAAAGTTTCTTATCAAATAAGTTGAAACATCGCAGAGATATACACTACAAGACAAGATATGATAAAACTTTGTCTAGAGTATATTACTGATGAACAATTGTCTTGATTTTGTAACTGCACATGCCCTTAAGAAATGCACAGAAAAGGCTTGGGGCTCATCTAATTGGTTAAACTAATTCATTTAAGTCTTTTGTGTGTTTTAGTAAGTGTTTTACGGCACTTGCAACACAATAAGGTCATGTAAGTGCCAAAGATTAGAAGTGTTACAAGAGAGTAACAAACAAAAAAAAGGAGGAGAGATAAGGATGATAGATGTTTGATAGGAAAGAAGAAGCAAACCACACCAGAGCACCCGCCAACCACTCAGCTTGAATCTTTTCCCCATACCAGCAGGAGTGAATTAGCCGGGACCAAGCACGAATATTGGTAATCGCCAAGGGGCATCGACACTTTGCAATAGAGTTGGTCATATAGTAGGGCTAGACATATTACATAAACAAACATGAAAAAACCCCAAACAAACAAAGAAACGAAAAGGAGAAAGATACCCTTGGTTCCTGATCCCATAGAACAAGAGCATGGACTGAGTAGCTTTAAGAGGCAATTTGCAGCTAAATAAGGTCTGAGAAAATTAGATCTGGTGCATGTGAGTCTGGCAAGACGGAATGTGCAAAGGCTGTGCATTGCTGTATAGTTTGTGATTTCACTCAAAAATGAACAAAGTCTCTGCTTCAGAAAACTTGTAGGATACGTACTTGGTTTTGTTTTCAATTACACTCAAATCAAACATTTGTTTCTGTATTTACTACGCCTCTGTTTGGGCAAGTGCTCCTAAAAAAATGTGTGCTTAAAATTTTCTAATTTTTTTAAAGTTCTTCAAATAAAAGCTGTAGGCCCTAACATATTTTTTTTCTCATTTTTGTTGCTTTGAATTGTGCTACTTCTGGTGTTGCTGTAGTGTAAATATGATGCACATGGTGTTGGTGGTTAAACTCTTTTGAACTAAAGCAAAAATCTCATAAAATGCCCAGGCCCATGTGCATGTGTTTCTGAAAATACCCCATTCTCAAGTGAGTTTAAAATTCTGTTTAAGGTCTACAAATAGTAGTGAAGTAAAAGTTGCACCAACTGTACGCAAGAAATGTAGGCTTTAATTAAAATCTTAAGTCTTAACACAGGCACACCATGAAAGACATGGTAAAACAAACGAAACAACAGGTTAAACAGAAAGCAGCTTTATGTTCATGTCAGACTGTACTCCTGATGAGCTGGCAAAGGCATTTCGTTAAGAATCAAAAGCATGGCAACAATTGCTGCATTCGACAGCATCCTATGGGTACAAAACTTACATATTCTACTTTACCCTGGTTAGACCAATATGTCCCCCAGAACTGTTTTTGTAGACGAACATGCCCTTAGGCAATGCATAGAACAAGTGTATGGCTCATCTGAATGGTTTAAAACTCTGGTCTACAAACAGAAGTGAAGTAAAAGTTACATCAACTGTACACAAAAAAATGTCAGCTTTAAAATCTCAAATCTTAACACAGGCATACCAAGAAAAACAAGATAAAACAAATGGAACAATTTAAAACGGAAACCAGCGTTACATTCATGTCAGACTGTATTCCTGTTGAGATGGCAAGGGCATTTGGTAAAAAAATCTAAAACATGGCAACAATTGCTGCAATTGACAGCATCCCATGGGGACAAATCCTACATGTCTTACTTCTGGACTCTGTTCAGACCAGTCAGGGTGACTACAAAAACAAGGAAATGACCTATTTCACTCCAGTCACTGGAAAATATTGCATCATTAGTGTAAAGCAAACCATTTTAAACCAAAACCAAACTTTTTAAGGTATCTCTTCTTATTTGCCAACATAAAAAAGCACAGGCTTACATGGATATCAAATACATTTGACAGAAAATGTTTTTTTTTTTATCTGCCAACATTAAAAAGTAACCTACCAGTATAGGCCTACAAGAATACAAAATAAGCTTGACTATAAAGATTCTTTCTTTTGTGTCAACAAAAAAAGTCTAGGACTATGAGACTATAAAAGAAATCTGACAATAATGTTATATGCCCCCATCTATGAAGCAGGAAGACACAAGTGACTCAATAAAATCTTCTCCAAGACGAGATTCCACCAACCCACATCTTATGCGAACATAATGAAGAGCCTTACCGAGACACTACAGACGAACATCACTTAAAATACAGGAACATAAAGTTGTTTAAAAATATTCTCAAAAGATAAAAGATACGTTGATACACAAAGAGTAATGCACAGAGGACCCATAGTGGACGTAAGGCTGAGTGGGCAAACAGGGCAGATAACACTGGGATTTATCTGTTGTTCATCGTGATGAGGAAAGCATTGGCCTCCTCCTCTAGGCTGTGCTTCTCTCTGTAGGTGTTCAGCAGCACTGACCACATCTCACTGGTTCCCAGCAAGTGGCGGTTCCCTGAGACAGAAACAATATCGTATCGATTCACCAGAAATTTGAGTTCATCCGCTTGTTTTCTTGAAAGTATAAATGGTTTAAAAAAATTTTTTTTTTTTTAGCCACATAGTATGATGATTGTTTCAGCTGATTGACAAAATGTCAGACAGACAAGAACTACACACGTGAGACTTTCCAGAATTGGCAGAAGCATCCTCTTGTAACTTCTGTTCTTTGTACCTGAGACCTAGACCTAACTGATGTACATTCTATGATCAATTGTCTTTCTCTCTTAAGATTAGGCATGGGCAAACGGCCCAAGAGCAGTTTCAGTCCAATCCATGAATCAACCCAGTAATCAATAATCATCCCCCTGGGGAGTTAAAAATTAATATTAAAAAAACTGTCCCTCTTGAAAATCAAAATCAAGTCTCTAGCCCAGCTGGAAGCAGTAAATCTAATATTTTATCTCATGAAATGCCTTTAAGCAATGGCAATTCTTTATTGAGTATCTCGTTCTTTCTTCAAGGATGTTGTATCCCCTTCAGCTTGGGTTGGCCAAATTGTGTCGCTGGGGGCGAAAAAACACCTAGACCTTAAAGTCTTTTAAAATGCATTTTCCCAGGAACATTGTGAGGCTACAGTCACACGGTAAATCGAAACTTGAAGGCCCTTCATTAGTTAGATCTTGGAACATTTCATAAAGACAAAGACATCTTTCATCAGGAATTTTGGATTACAGTTAAGTTTACATTCAAAGTCAGCAGATTATCAAATACTACAACACACAGCCAAAACAAGATAAACATTATATACACGATATTTAATATAAATCACAACCACACATCATAGCTGGTTGCTCCAGAACAACTTTTGAGCTAAAGAGAAAAATCGCCTCCAAAAAGAATGGGTGCTACCATCACCTATCCAAAATGCTGGTACAGTCCACTCCGGCTTTAAACACAGTCGTCGGGAGAAAGCTTAAGCGTTCTTGAGTGCGAAGTATATATAATCCAGAGATTTTCATGTTGAAAATTTCCTGTGCTACTTCCCTTTGTTTGTAAGTAGGCCTATTGCGGTCCCGCAAAAGTATGCACTGTTATTTTTACCCGCCATGGTAGTTTTCGTTTGTTTATTAGTTTTGTTTTGTGGTCAAATGGGAAATGAAAACTTAATTTAGACAGCCAGTCACGATACAGCACACTAGGCCTAAACATTGCCTGTGCGTACCACTGCCCGCTGTGCCACATTCATACCCCCCCCCCCCCCAAGAATACACGGTCTTTGGTCCAACCTCGCGCGTGATACCAAATCAGGATTATCGGACAGAGAGGGGCAATAAGGTGAAATCGCAGCCTGCCTCCTTTTCTCGTCCCACCGACTTTCTGTGTGCATCTCTCTGCCTTCCTCTGCGCGCATGTGTGTGTGTCCATCGCTTGCGTACTTTGTGTTTCTTTTAACACACTGCTGCGGTGTAGACTGTGTTCAAACTTTGTTGGGTCATCATGAAAGTATTGACTGTCTAGTAAATGAAGCGTGCCTGAAGCCGAAGTTACCGTGCTTAAAGGTGTGTAATTTATACAGCAGAAATTCGGTAAGAGCCGTTCAGCGTGCTTGAGTCCGAAATGTGCTTTAACTCTTATCCTGCGTCTGTGCCCAGATGCGTATCTTATCAGCAACCGATTACGTCGGACTCGCCGGGGTCACTCAGTGTGTACTGTTGGTGTACAGCGCGCGCGCCGGGAAACGTGTGTTTTCGCCATGAATACCGCGGGAGTGTGTTAACTGATGATGAAAATAACGCTCTATCCTTCATAGCATTCTATTTATAAAGTGTTACAAACACATGAATAACCCCCTCTCACAAGCTGATAAGACATTACGAGTAGTTACGCCCATTTGAATTACCTTTCTGGACGCTCTTGTTGTTATGAATGACCTGAGGTTCGAAAAGGGATAATTTAGGACAATTTCCGAATGTTTTACACTCAAATTGTTCTTTGTACCTGCACAAGGGTATTCAAAACTATCAAACAAGCTCATTTTTTATCAGGTAGTATTATTTCATACAAAATCAAGCTCATTTGAAATATTTTGTATAGAAAAAATGGAAGTCTTGTTTCCTGACTATCCTTTCGAGCTCCTCATGTCTAAGTGGGTCAATTTCTTCTATAATTTCATTGGATGAACATCTAGAGCTATCAACTTGGCATGTTTTGAATGAGATGTATGCCTCGATTACGAACCAACGCAGGTGGTTCTAGAAGAAGGCCACAAACGCACACAAACTCAAGCAGACTGACGCACACACACTTGACCTGCGTGAATGGGGATCCGACTCGGGACCTGAATGACACGTAAGAGGATGCGCGCTGCGCGTGCGCTGAGCCAGGAGCTATACTGACTCGGGACCAGAATGCAGGCGAGGTGCCGAAATAGGCTTATCGGGCTACATAAACCCGGCTCCCGCAGGATGAGGGTTAACTGATTCCGTCCATTCGGCCGCTGACAGCGGCTCTGAGTTTTTCCGCTGCCTCCATTCGGCCGCTGTGAGCGGCTCAACGAAATCCGAAACAAATGTGCACTTTTTAACATAGTTCCTACTTTTTAAGTTGTCGAAAGGAAGTAGAACTTGTAAACAAACCTGACCTCAATCTCTGAGCGCCAATATCGATCGAAACTCCGCGAAATTCTTGCAAAAATCGTTGTTTTGTTGTTGCGATGTTGGCTAGATCTAAGGGTAAACAACACGGAGCCTGGTATAATAAAAAGGCTCTTCAAAGAAAGATATTCAACTAAATTTGTGAAATTCTTGCATAAATGTGTGCTAGGGCGATATCGCTACAATGTTGTGTTGATTCCTATGGATTATAAGGACTTGTAGAGCTGAGAAAATGCGGTAAGTTGAAATTTTCGAAGAGCTGTTGCGCAATTTTTTTTCCTCATTCATTTTTGTCAGAAGGAAAATGTAATACAAACAGATTATAGGTCATTGTTATTGATATAAACAGATTTTTCTATTTATTCCCATCAGTTTGGTATATGACAATACCTATTAGAGTGACTTAGAGCTTCACAGTAATGCATTAAATAGATGCACCCCAGGTCTAAAACTGAGCAGGGAAAAATAACTCTGTCCAGAGCCTGAAAAAATCATGGACGGAATCAGTTAAGCCGGCGTGCTTAAAGCCGGCACGGACTGTATTGCTTGACATTCACTAGCACTTTACAATCATGTGTGTGTATGCCTGGAGAAAGGTCTCAGTTGTCGGAAATTTTGAATATTTAAAATGAGGGCATATTCTCATAGCAAATTCAATGCTGAACACACTGGTTTTTACATTTTTCAAATATCTTGAGAAGTTTTAAAGATATGCCACGTTTTGTAACATGGATTGTCAAAACAAAGTTTGGAGAAAATACCAAATTCTAGCACATTTTTAACCTTTGGTGAAGTACAACATGTTGCAATAAATAATTAATTAATAATATTTAGACTTAAAATATAATAAAATCCTATACATATGTTATTAAGAAATGAGTAAACGTGTGTTCTTTGATGGAACTAAATTTTTTTCTTTATCGGGTATGACCTTTTTAGCCTTTTCCCCCTGTTGATCAAAAAAGCTTTGCCGACAACTGGGACCTTTCTCCTGGCATACACATGTTTATTTTAAATCTTTCACCACTAACATTGCTTGACAATAACAAGCAGTTTATGGTCCTCTATCTAAAAGCTGTCACCAATGACCATGACATTGTTCCAAACTTACAAGTGCTCTACAGTCCCCAATCTAAAATCTGTCACTAATGACACTGCTTGGCACTTTCCAGGTGAGAGGTTGGCACCCGGCTCTGGTGTGCTTTGCTCCTTCCTTCCTACCATACATTTATAGTCCTTACCTACCTCTCTTTCTTCTTTTCTATGTATGCTACTCTCTAGTAACATCTCTAATCTTTGGCACTTACATGACCTACTTGTGTTGCAAGTTCCTCAAAACTCTTACCAAAACCAAACGTTTATCAGCGGTCTCTACAGTATGGACCAGAAACTAAAGGCCCACAGCACAGTAGGGTTTTGGTTGCAAAAAATTTCAAGAAACCAATTCTAAAGAGATATAACATCATTGACACGATACATGCCAGTAGTGCGACAACCCATTGTACTTACCGATGATGAACAAGGCCGTCTTCGCCCGAGTCAAGGCAAGGTTGACAACGCTGGGGTCAGCCACCCGGCCCAGATGATGCTTGACCCAGCGCCTAGTCTCTGGCCGGTGCAGCTTTCGACTGTCCAGAGACCTCACACAGGACAGGATCACGTACTCACTCTCACGACCTGATACGGGGGAAACTTTAGTATTAGTAAGAGTTCTACGGCACTAGCAACACAATTAGGTCATATAAATGTGAAAGATTAGAAGTGTTATACGAGAGTAACAAGCACTAAGAAAAGGAGAAGAGATAAGAAAGACAGATGTTTTTTGTTTTAGTAGAGGGTTTTCCGGCGCTCGCAACTGCATAAGGTCATGAACACCCAGGGGTGGATGTCAACAGAAGTCCTTACAGAGAATCAGGCTTACTCTGCTCACCTCTCTAGCTTCGACAGCACAAAGTCTGCTTCCACTATCAAGGCATCCCGGAAAAAGCGGTCACAAAGAGTGTGGCAAACATACAAATGAAGCAGAGGAAAAATGACGATAGTAAGGATAAGGAAAGAAAAAGTTGCCGTTCCCTGTTGTTTTCTACTGTGCATAAGATCAAGAAATGTTCCCTCTTTGGGAATGGCCTAAAGACACTTCAGTCAGTGGCACCGACCCGAGGGGTTACCCGACAATCACCAACAAGGGGGAAACAAAATGATGCACATAACATATATGTTGATAGTGTCTGGCATAGATGAGATGGGATGTCCCCTCCCCCTGCCCAGAAGTGTACTTTACAGTAGAGGCTATAAATGGTTTAAATAAACTATTTCAGACCACCTCAACTCAAATTTGGTTAAAAGGAACAGAAAAACATCCAACAAAACTTGATGAGCAACTTCACAGAATTTTACAATATAACCATAATCAGATTTTCGAAAATTTCATAGTGAGCACATTTGTGCTCGTTACCATTGAATATCGAAACAGTAATTGAGTGTTTTACCCCCCAACCCAAATCAGCCCAACATACGATCATATACAAAGCCGGCTTTTCGTTTCTGTCTGTAAGGGTAAACTTGGACTGAGTGGTATCAGCTCCAAGTGGACAGATGGTGATGAAAACAGATTTTTTAATTAAAAAATTATTTTTTTTAGTAGAGGGTTTTACGGCGCTTTCAACTGCATAAGGTCATACGAGCGCCAAGGGGTGGGTGTCAACAGAGAAGTCCTTACAGGGAATCAGACTTACTCTGCTCACCTCTCTAGCTTCAACAGCATAAGGTCTGCTTCGACTAACAAGGCACCCCAAAATAGCCGGTCACAAAAGAGTGACAAACATACAAAAGAAGTAGAAGAAAATGACAATAGTAAGGATTAGGAAAGAAAAAGCAGCAGTTCCCTGTTGCAGATCAGGCACAGTTATGAGCGTAACATGATGAATCAGCCCATTTACAATTCTACTGTGCTTGAACGAGAAATGTCCCCCCTTTGGGAATGGCCTAAAGACACTACAGTCAGTGGCATTGTCCGAGGTTTTTAAAAAAATTTACCAACTCGAGAACCATGTGATGGTAAAGAGCCATGGCACTACACCACACTACAGGTGCTGGAACACATAACACAGAAACAAGTTGCCACGACAGACACAGGTCATTCAACGGCAACAAAAAGAAAAACCAGGCCTGACATAATGATGCACAAAAGAACAAACCAAACAAACCAAAAAATTAAATCCAAACATAATAAATAAATCACAGATAGAAAAGTGGAAAAGAACCGGACACCTTTTCAAATACTTTTTCAGGAAAGGGAAACAATTGCAATAAAGACTATCAGCCATGGTGCGAAAGTCCATGAGCTGCCAGACATAAAAGAACACCAACTATAAAGAAGGGACATTTATCCACTAGCAGCTAGATTGGTAACCATAACAATCAATATTACTCAATAAATTGAAATATAGAACAATTGTCCAATAACATTACATTAAAAAAAAGGCAGAACATCAAACAGTAAATGAGACATAAGCGTCCTGTATCACATATCAATCATAAAACATTATCACACATCAAGCATACAAAAACTATACCCCAACACACAAGGTAGACTAAAAACATGAAGAGCATTTGATGCAAGACACACTAAATAGAGAGAGAGAGAGAGACCCCACTCACAGTGCAACCTAGCAAGCCACCTGTGCCCCACTACCGCGCTTGCAGGGCAACATCGCTCGCCAGCAGCAAGACCGGTAATCCACCCCGCTCGCAGCGTGAACTCTGAACTCTGGACGTGGTGGAAGCGAGAGGCTGCGCTGGCTTTGGTGCAAAACAAAGAGGGCCGTAATATAGCCTAGTCCAGACCGTTCGCAACATCAGTGCTTTAACAGAGAAAGTGTGACATCTTCTTAGGCTCACATTTTGTTATGAACTGTTTTCACTGGTATTAAAAATGTAGATACGACAAGAAAGTACTGGGGTCGGGGTATGCTATACTATTTAAGTGTGAACTTACAGACAATTTTAACTGACAAAGTAAATCGTCAGCATCCCGTGGCTATTAATTTAATCACTCGCCTAAACTACACTCCCACCCCGACACTTAGGACAAGTTGAAGTTGAAAAGAATGAATTGGGTTGGAATGACAATCCAGCGCAAGAAGTCAAGAAGTTCAGACATGTATGGGCTATTTTTAACTTCCCATCCTTGCTCAGCTGAGTGAGAGTGGAATACCCAAACACGCAATGTTATGAAGAATAATTTGTAACAATAGGGAAGCTCTGCTCATTAGGTAACTGAAACTGGTAATTGTGTCATTCATACGTGAGCGGTCCATTTTCAATTTTTTGGGGTGTAGCATTCAGGAGTGTTCCAATGAACACTTTTTCTCACACTGTTAATTCAACAAACAAAAAAACCCCCCAAAAACCAAAACCAAAACCTGTCACGACAGGAAGCGTAAGGGGAGGGGCGGGCTCTACGGAAAGCGAGGGGTGGTGAATACCTCTCACTTTCCCAACCACATTGCCCCCTCTGCTCCCCAAACAGCGCCATCGCTGGAAGTGTGAGGGTGAGGGCTCGTCCGCGTGGACAGAAGTATCGCACGCTCAGTAAACAAGAGTTTCTGACGTCACGACACAAATCAGCAAGTCCGTCCACCGTCCACGAGCAGCAACTCCGGTAGCGGGCAAAGCACAAGCCTGCTCGCAAGCCCCTGGCGCAAGCCGTCCGCTGCACGCAAGCCTTCGATTGATCGAGCAGACTCCAGCTATAAAACACGTACATGGCACCCTAAACACATTCTGAGCACATGGTACACGAAAAACACATGTGGTACACATCAACACACAAGGCACATGGTGCACAAAAAACAACAACACATGGCACACAAAAGATTTAGGTTTAGTTTAGTTTTAGTAAGAGTTTTACGGCACTTGCAACACAATAATGTCAAAAAGTGTTGAAGATTAGAGGTGTTACAAGAGAGTAACAAACATAAAAAAGCAGGAGAGATAAAGACGATAGTTGTTTAATAGGAAAGAAAGAGCAAACCACACCAGAGCACCCACCAACCACCCACACATAAAAGATATACTGGGCACACTGAAAAAACACATGGTACATAATAAACACAATGAGCACATGGTACAATAAAAACACACATGGTCTAGCATCTGTGTTTGTCGCGGCCGCGATTTTCGGCATTTTTTTGTCAGCGAATCGCGTCCGCGATTTTTGCATTTAAAAAAAAAGAAAAGGCTACTTCATAACATAGACGTGTATTTTGACAATTTTAAGGTGTCCATGAATAGTTATTTTTACGCGAAGAATAATAATAAGTACATTACAGATAGACTATTCATTATATTGCTGTTTATCTTTCATTTTCCCCTCTTTCTTGGTGTGTTAATTTTTCTTATCTATTTGTGTGTGTGTTTATATAGCGTAATGTCATTTAATTTGATGTTGTTAACATTTTTAAAAAAAATTTTTTTAATGTGTTATGTTAAAGCGTGTCTCCACCAAAACCGAATGCTGGCAGGCCCCTTGTGTGTGATTCCATAATTTACATGTAATATCCTGCACTTTTTCTAGAATTAAACATGTTTAGGGTTAAAACAGCAAATCTTCGGATGGGTGGACACATGCCCTTATTTGTTACTTTTGGCGGTTGTTTGTGTGCTGTTCTAATTTTGTTTTTATTCTGTTGTAAAACCTTTATTTTTCATGTATTTACACTCTATATGTCTACAAATAATACTCTGGATGCTTAAAACAGAGATTAAGTTACCTCTATCAATATACTACGTAGTTGAAAGCTTGAAAATTAATGGCAACTTTTTGGGCAACTTTTGCCATTTTTGTGGCAACTTTTTGCAACTTTTTGACAAAAAAATGGAAACAAACGCAGACGCTAGCAGGGTACACATCAACACACAAGGCACATAAAAGAAACACATGGCACTCTAAAAACATACAGGGCACACTGAAAGAAACACATGGTACACAACAGGCACACAGGGCACATTGAAAATACACAGGGCACATGGCACATTAAAGACAGTTCTGTTCTCACCCATGGCATCTAGCACAGTGTTGACCTCTATCCTTGGTGCCACCGACTGCTTGACCTTCTCCGCCTGGGCTCGTGTCATCGTCAGGACCTGGATGGATGTGTCCTTGACCCCATGACAGCGAGTCAGGGCCGTCACCAGCCCATTCTGTACACAACATAAGACAAGGTACCATAAGATATTGTAAGGTGAAGTAAGATAAGATAAGCATCATAACACCTGAGGTACATAATCAATCTTGTAAGTACACACTTGAAGAGACACAAGACCGTGCAACAGAAAGCAGAATATTAATCCCTTCCCTACGCTCAGTGCAACTGGCATTTTCTAGTACACACTCACCTTATCAACCACATGTCTCTACAATACAGGACATAAATGTAGACCAGTACAACAACAACATCGTCTGCTGCAATATGACCAATACCTACCACCATCGCAAGATACAGAATAGGCCATCAACAACATTTCTCCAGCTGAAGCCTGTCCTGTGAATCCTTTTCTAGCTGTTTTCATGATGTCCCCACCTTTTCCATTTCCGCTTGTACTGCTCGCCTCCATGTCATCTTTGGTCTTCCTTTCTTACATTTTCCTTGTGGATTCCACGTGAAAGCCTGTCTGATGATGCTTGTTGGGGGTCTCCTCAGGGTGTGCCCAACCCATTTCCATTTTTTCACCTGTATGTCTTCCTTTACTGGCCTTTGGCTTGTTCTTTTCCACAGTTGAGCATTTGTGATTTGATCGTACCACTTGATCCCCATTATCCTTCTTAGGAATTCTTTTATGAAGTTTTGCAGTTTCCTTGCTGCTGATGCTGTGAGCCTCCATGTCTCTGAACCATACAGTAGAACAGTCTTCACGTTTGTTTTGAAGATCCTCAGCTTGGTGTTCAATCCCAGTTCCTTAGACATCCATATTATATTCCTGAGGATGATGAATGCTGCTCTTGCCTTTTGGATTCTGACCTCGATGTCTTCATCTGCCTTGCACTTGCAATACAATCAGGTCATATAATATGTACCGAAGATAAAGAGGTGTAACGAGAATGAAAGATACAAACAAAAGAAGGAGGAGAAATAAGGACAATAGATGTCTGATAGGATAACCGCCCGCATGTGGCAACAGAACAGGGCCTGCCATCTTCACAGGACATAAAATGCACATCACCACAGTACAAACACCATCTGTTGTGACGAAACAGTTCCAACCATCATCACAGGACACAAAAAAGGTATTTTTTTACAACACAAACACTGTTGTCTGCTGTGACTGAACATGGCCTATTATCAGTTGTTTAATTGTTTATCTGAGTAAAGAGAAGCACATCGACACAGTAACGTTTATGTAGTATTGGGAAAAGGTAAGACAAACAGAAACAAAAAAGGGAACGTAAAGAAGCAAGACCTACCAGTGGCATCCTTCAACCACCCGCACCCTACCACAGTGACAGGACATAGAGCGTACACCACCGCAGTAAAACAACCATTGTCTGAGGAGACCAACCAGTGCCTCCCGCTGCTACAAAAGACTCACCACAAAGTCTGCCTCTTTCTGGTTCCAAACGTTGTCCTGATCCCTAGAGGAGCTGTCTGTGAACTCCTCAGCACCCTCTATGTGGCAGAAGACGGACGGGAAGCCCACCTTTCCGGGCCAGGGGATAGATGGGGCAGGGGGCGGGCTGAGTATGGAGCTGCTTGTGGTGAGAACCCCGTTGTAGAACTGTCGAGAGGGGAAGCTACACAGACCTGTCACCTGTGGGGAAAATAGTAGGAACTACAATCAAACCAGCTCTAACGGCCACCTGTCTAAGATAATCACCTTTACGAGAGGCCACTTAAGACTTCACCCCTTGTGTGTTTTGTTATACCATAATGACATTGTCCAAAATGTCCACCTGTCTAAGACAACCACTTTTCTCCTCGACAACGGGTGGCCATCTCAGACAATTGCGTCTGTACCTGTTTGTGTTTTACAGGGGAAATGAAACAGAGGAAGGCAATGACTACAAAAGAGGTAGTCCTTGGAGGAAGGCTATAGACCATCTAGCCCAGTGATATGAATGTTCAAGCAAGAACAACTAAACATTCCTACAAACAGCTGGAGAGACTGTCCCGGGATCATGATAACTAGAGATAACTTGTGAGCTGCCTACAAGGAAGCATATAGGCTTGTGTTCTTACCCAGTGGACACTGAGTGCAGATCGACCGCTTAGTGTTTTACTCTACTATACTCCATAATGAAAAGTAATGTATGACGGAGTCTTACACTGAGCAGCCGAGATGAACTGTTGGTTCGGGATTTGAATCACTGTATGCAAATCTCGTGGTATTACCGTCAGGATATCATACGTATTGGAAGAGCAGTTTGTTTTAGTGTTTTACAGCACATGAAATACAATTTAGTTTAGTTTTATTAGAGGTTTACGGCACTCGCAACTGCATAAGGTCATAGGAATAAATCATTGATGGTCAGGTCAGGAGCGCCAGAAGATTAGAGGTATTACAAGAGAGTAACAACATAAAAAGAAGAAGGGGAGACAAGGAGGAAAGAAGTTTGAAAGGAAAGAAGAAGCAAACCACATCAGAGCAATACAATTAAGTCGTTGAAGATTAGAGGCGTTATAATAGTACAACAAACACAAAAAAGAAGGAGGAATAATGAATAGATATGTACCTTCACAATACAGTTACCCAGCGTATACCCTAATTTTCCTCAATTTTCACGTCTGAATGTCGCATGTCACAACCTCGGAACACTTCTTCGAATTATTCTTGATTTTAGTAGCTTTAGCTCAAATTTCTTTCATCGCGGCCCTTATCACGTTCCTGTGCCGTAGAATCTTCGCACTGTTAATGTCTCTAATTCTAAACAATAAATTTGCGAAAAAGTTTCTTTCTGACAGTTATTTTCTAAGATCACAATTCAATATACTTGATCAACGCACAGAGTTTCCAGCCGCAGCAACAATCCGAAGACAGACAGACGGAATCAGGGAATGATAGAAAGGGGGAAAGTGGCACAAAAAGTTCGCCAGATTTTGATCAATCTGCAGGTAAAAAATGTACTGCCGACCAACTCACAATGAATGCATGGGGCATAGCGGATTAATGGCCGGTGGCAGGAAATGCGCAATCTGGCAGGTTTCTATACCGTAACAAACTATTGCCGAGAGAATCACCGTAAATATCCGTAACTTATACTATACAAGACGATACGAAGGCGAGTACCGGTCTTTTGCTACGGAATTTCCCTACGCTGTCGTAGATTTTTACGGAGGGAGTTGATAATGATGGAGGAACAAGTATGGAACTAGCAGAAAGTACGGATTTCCGTAAAAATACGGAAGGAGTGGAAGCACTGAATGATGCCCTCCAAATACCAGTACCAAAACTGTGAACCAGATGACACGGGCAGTATCGCATACAGACGTATCTCAAAGGTTGACAGAAATGACCTATGTCTGTATGCAATTCTGCCCGCGATGAGTCAGCCTGCGCTCCTTAGTCAACATACCAAATTCCCTGCTCATATCACTATCATTATACTTTTCTCTTTGATCATTTCTCTACGGCTGAAAAGTGAGTAAACAGTAAGACTCATAGCATGTGTAACCAAAAGATACAAGTTCGATTTTTGTGTGGTGAAGTTTATTTTATCGAGTAGCTTTATCTTTTTGCTGGGATGCTGTATCCTCCTCAGCCCTGACAGCAGGGTGTAGGAATCCAACCACCTAAATGATCCACAGCTGCAATAATTTTGAAAAGTACATAGCAATCAAACCATAACAACTTACAGTTCTAAACTGTTCAGTCAGTTTCACAGCCCGGTCAGCAAAGCGAGCCAGCAGTGACCTTGACCCGCTATGTCGCCCGGGGAACTGACTGACCAGCGAGGGCATCTGTGTATCTCCCAGAACCAGCAACTGATTGACGAGTGGATGTGACACCAGCGGAACCATGGCTAGGCTCTCCTGAATAAGGCCAGCATCATCCATGATGATCTAGATAAAGAAAAACATATCAATGGTTATATGCTCTGATCAAGTAACTGGTTTCCCAAAGTACTTTTATACTGCTTATAGTACATGCTGACTCCTTGACGTCCTGTAGATTGACCCTACAATACTTTATATTAAAGAACTATAAAAAAAAAACTAGTAGAAGTGCTAAATCCAAAAAACAAAACAAAACTAGTCATAGCTGCCTAACATGTTTCACTATAAGCTGCAGCAAGTCATCTCTGCCCTTCGAGGCAAAACAAGGGCACAACACTGACCTGCTTGACACACGTGGCCTGGCGGAGGATGGGTCGGGCACTGGTGGCACAGGTACACAGGATGACCTGTGCTTTACGCAGCTCGTGCAGCTGAGCGCGGTCAAGACACGCCTGAAAGTCTTTCATGAACTGTGGCTCCGGACTGCCGGCTGACATAGAAAGAATCATTTCTTGTTCCAGAATAGCCTGTTAGAACAAAAACATTGTTTGCTTTTAAGGCAAAGAGAAGCACACTGACACAAGCATGATCATTTATTGCTTGGGACAAAATTAAGACAGACAGAAAAAAGAGAAAAGGAAAGAAGTAGAATAGACCAGTGGCACCTTCCAATCACCTGCTAGAGTAAACAGAGAATGACTTCACGAATTCACCAGTGCTTTATGATTAAAATACAGCACCTGACAATGCAAGCAAAAACACAGATTGTAACAAAAATCACTCAGACCTGACCACCATACACATATTGATGATGTGAAATTCAGCTGCGTCATTAATCCAGACTTGCCACTCTATGAAATCTAAAAATCAGGATTTCTGAGTTAAAAAATCAGGATCTGGTGAAAAAAATCGGGATCAACAGCAAATCAGACATAAAGGGCACTGGGGAAGGCGAGGGGGTCCTGGTTCCCTTGAGGCAAGTATGCAAGGCAAAACTTTTGCAGGAATAAGTTCACGTTTGGACCTCTAAATAGAGGGAAAACTGAAAGACAGCATATATGTACTCGAGTCGAAGTTGTATAGACTGGGGGAGCGAAGGTCGCAGTGATGCTGAAACACTCGTAGTCTTGAAAATAGCTGACACGTAACCCTAATCATCCACGCAAAACGCCAGCGTTTTAACAACATTTGACTTCCCTCACATAGAAAAAAAGATCGCGCCAAGGCTGTTCATTAAAAAAAATAAATTCCTTTCCCCTTAATTAGTACCTGTATTACGGCACGCATTTTAAGCCCAAGTGTCAAAACAATACCCCCACCCCCTCCCCCCGCCGTCCACACTGGTTAAGTCCCGAAAAACACCTCGACCAACGCGACCGGTGTGAATGAACTTTGTTGACCCTGACAACCGACGGTCCCCGACACACGCGCTACTCACCACACGTACGAGGTCATGTCATGTGATGCGAATGAGCGTTTGAAACTAGGTCGATTTTAGTATAAATAACGTGCGTTAGTCATCTACCAGATCTAGATTCAGCATAGATGATTTAGAAAATAGCGTTCCAAGTTCCTGCAGACAAAAAGTCCAATCGGTGTTTCCAAGCAAAAGAGATTGCAGAACTTTTTATAGTTTTTTCTAAGAATCGGACGTAACGGACGCAACAACAAGAAATCAGGATACTGGCGATCGAAATCGGGAAAATCGGGATGGTTGAGATTTGGGGCAAAAAATCGGGATGAGTGGCAGGTCTGTTAATCATTCTAAGCTCAAGTGACAACAAATATGAGGTACAGAAGAGTTGGAGCCTGATGATTAGTGGGACGTATATATGTAACATCTCATAGGCAATCAGGAGCAACAAATTATGCCAACTTCCGTAACATCAATGGTATGCAACAAAGATAAAAATTATGCATTTCGTGACGTACCAAGTACGTCATAAGACAAAAGGGCAGATGGGTCAAAGGTCAGGAGAATATCAAAACACTGACAGGCTAACAAAAAACTGGTAGATCAACACAACAGTGGTGTGCGTTTGTGTGTCTGTAGGTGCACGCACACGTGCATGCATGTAAATGTATCATGACCAAAAAAAACCCAAAACTGATGTGCAATTTTTTAAAGAAATTCTTACAGTTTAGTCTCACTCTCTTCGTTTATTTATCTGATGTGCTGCACTGACATGCAAGTATTAAGCATATCTGCCAATCCATATATTATAATGTACGGATATATGGGCTAAAAGCCTTTAAAAAAAACTATTTTGAATTTCGAACTCTGTATCTCTCTCTTCTTTCACTCTTCTCTCTGTCTTTTTATCTTCTCTCACTTTCTCTTTGAGAAGGTGGTTGTGCTGTCGAAATACCAAGAAAAAATTCGCTTTCCAACAATGTTCCCCATCCCCTCCTCCAATAACTCAACAAAATCTCTACCTGGTTCTCTGGGTTCTCTGGTCTCCTAATGAGGTGATGCAAGGCCACATCCTTTTGCACCGCACACGTTGACTGGCTGCGAGAAAACTCTCCTGGACTGATGGTTGTGCTGGTGGGGAAGTCACGTTCCTCCACTTCCTCACTGTACACACGCACAATGCTGATCCGCAGTAAGTTGAGCGCTTTGAGGAGGCCTATGGAAGAAAAACAAATAAAATAAATATGTTACATAATTCCAGCTTATACTGAGAAGGGAAATAAATCTTCTGTTACAGAAAACTGCAATTTCAACTTTGATAAGGCAAATTCCCTAGATACAGAAATAAATGGGACTATAATAGAAAAGGTAGGTAAAGGATATACAAGGCATACTCTTCTCTTTCTCTCATACTGTTCCTCCCTTCTCTCTCTTTCTGTCTCTCTTTTCTCAGTTTTTCTCTCCTTTCCATCTTTTTTTCTCCTTCTTTTCTCTCTCTCCTCTCTCATTCTTTCTGTCACAGTGACCGATAAGGTGGGATACCAAGATACCATGTCTGATCAAAGAAGTGACATCACTTTTCCCAGCCATATCCACTTCAGCCACAGTGACTGGCAAATGACTTCAAAACAGCTGGTTCACACACATTCATCAAAAAACACTCTTTCATTAGTAACTTTTCAACAATTTTTTAAATGGCAAATCTCATGTCTTAGCATGCAGGGGTCAAGAAAGTAGTTGTGTCCTGACCCTGTCCCTCGACAACAGATGAACTGTTTAAGTTTTCAAACTGAAAAAAAAAGATGGTTAAAAAAAAGGCCAACATCCAGTGGGTCAGCTTCTTCTGTCCAAAGGGAAGCTGAGAATTTTCATGAGAAAATAAGACTTAGAATGCGCAAATTATTATCTTTTTTCTTTTTTTGCGACCATAACAAATTCAGATAAGTTTCTATAAATCCATGACGATGAAATTCCCTTGTCTCGTACATTGTGTCCAGTTTGAAAGCGCAGATAAACAAAAAACGTGCTTCCTTTCCATTGAATGGCTTGTGTATATATATATAAAACACATGCTAGCACAGTAACTGAGAGCATAGACCTTAACTCATAACAATGGCAGGGTAAATGCACCATACATAAAAGGCACACGGTATATTATTTTTTGTGTTATGGAACAGGCTCATTGTATCAGCACGGTAATAGCTTCATTAATAAAATGGACACAAAATGTCATTTTTCATGTTCAGGGACAGCCTCATAGCATCAGCAAGGTAAGTGCATCAAACATACAATACACAGGGAACAAATCTTTTTGGTGTCAAGGGACAGCCTCAATTCTTCTTTATGAAAGCTCATCTTGAAGCCAGGGCTTCCTCACCTGTAATAACATCCAGGGACCGCTCTGAGGCCCCGCAGATCATGAGCTGTGTGCGGCCGCCATTTTGTCTCTTCTGGCGCACTTCGTCCCCTGTCCTGTTCCTCTGGACCAGCAAGTAAGCCAATCTGGCAGCACAGAGCGACTTGCCAGTACCTGGGCCTCCGCTGACCACAGTCAAGGGTTGCTGGAAGGCAGTGGAGATCATCTCTTCCTGCTCTTCTGCCAAACGCGATTTGAGCACGGAGCCATCTTGTGGGATTGGGTCAACTGCGAAAAGCAATACAAAATATCCATTAAGGCAAGCACTAATAGATTTTTAATATTTTTGCTGTTCATGACAACGGTATCTTGAAACATGACTACAATGACATTGAAAGTTGAAAGGTCATATAAAGAACATGTTCTAAGAATTTTTTTAATTTTTGAAAAAAATGTGGTCACCTTGAATTTTTAATGATTTCACATTTTCTCATTTCTAAACAAAAACTATTCAAGATATAGCCCTCAGATTTGCAGTGTACATATTTAACAAACTGGGATGTGTCATAATGAAAAGAAAGCATGATATTTAAGTCTGTTTTATGTGTAGCTTGAAAAAAACAAACATACACATTAGTTAAAAAACACTACTGACACAGACCTGCCACTCTATGAAACCTCAAAATCAGGATCTCAGGGAGAAAAAATCGGGATTTGGTGAAAAAAATCGGGATCAACAGCAAATCACCAAGGTGACTGCCAAAGCTGACTTAAAATTTTTCCAGGGGTGTCCATAAATTACTCTGCCTATATGCCCTCTGGGTGTTTTTGTTTGTTTGCGTGCGCGCGCGCGTGTGTGTGTGTGTGTGTGCGCGCGCGCGTGCAAGTTATCATTATTTTTTGTAAATCCTGAAGCATCACGTTAAGTACTCCTAATCCAAGTGTCTATACACCCCCCCCCCTCACCCCAACCAATAAGTCCCGAAATACATGAACTTAAGTTGACCCCGTCAACGGACGGTCCCCGACACGCAGAACTCACACGGCGATGTCATGTCACGTGACGTGAACGTGCGATTGAAACAATTTTATTAACGGGTCCGACTAACTGCGCGTTCACACAAAACTCTCAGATGAGCGACAGTCGTTCTACTTCGAGTAATCTAGGTTGTACCAACAAATCTCTTATCCCCCATAATGCGTTCAGACTAAAGCAACGACAACGGCCGAATGTCAGTCTTGTCAGCACAGTTACATGTAGTTGTGTAAGGGATAGAAAGACTGTCGCTTGTCCCGAGTGTTTGATGTGAACGCGCAGTTACCAGACCTCGGACAAGGCTTGTTTTGAAAGTAACAGAGGAACTACGAATAGTATCGATTATTTGTACGCCCCAAATTGCAACAGTTAACAGGCTATCATCGGAGAATTCTGAGTGCGGGCAAAGACAAAGATAGTAAATAACGATCATACACAACTTGGGGCGAGTCAACTACTAAATGCGGCATCGATATTTCGGGAAATAGTGCTCCGAGTTCCTACTGACAAAAAGTTCAACGGGTGCTTCCCGCGATAAAGGAGAAGGCAGAGTAAGTTTTTAGAAAAACCCAGTACAACAGCAGACTGGGACAAAAAATCGGGATACACGCGATCGAAATCGGGAAAATCAGGATGCTTCAGATTTGGGGCAAAAAAAATCGGGATATCCCGACTAAATCGGGATGAGTGGCAGGTCTGCTGACACAACCAAAAATTTTGTCAAATTCAAAGACAATATGCCCAAAATCTCTTTAATATGTCATTTAGATACCATTTCTACACGTCCTTGCAAAATATCATATAAATATCTTGGAAAACAACTTGGCAATTTGAGAAAATCCATGCTGAAAATGACAAAAGGAGGCAGGCATTGAAATGACTGTGCCATCCGCTCTTACGGAAACTCACAAATCTACTTAGCAGGATCTGGTGACCTATTTCAACTGTTTACAGAGTTTTTGATTGAAAGCGTACGGTGCTGGGAGTTATTTTACCAGATTAAGCACTTAATGCGGTTTTCAGTGGTATACAGCATGCCGACTTTCTATTCAAAGTAACAAATTGGTGGCAATAATGTTTTATAACCCAAAACTAACAATGTAGGCCTTTTTTGTGATCCTAAAAGATCACCCCTAGGTTACAAAAACAGAAAATTAGTATATTTATGGTGTTTTCTGAGCTTTGGAAACATGTGGAACATGTAGTATAATGGTCTAACATTATTTCTGGCCCAAAATCTGGAAATCGATTTTTCAAGCCAAAAACACCCAGAAATTGTATTAGTGCTTGCCTTTACTAAATGCCTACTAGTTGCACTTTTACGCATCTCTATCATGGGTCTCAACTCAGAATTGTTAAAAAGGAGGAACTTTCCGCGTGATTGCGACAGAAGCCCATTTTCGCGAGACACCCACTATTATTATACTGTTAAACCCTAGAATGTTGAAATAAAAACCATCAATTTATCAAAGCAAGGTTACTTCATACCAGTTTGAGGGTTTGGAAGATAATTTCAAATAAGAGTCACGTACCAAATATTTACAATCTTGATTACGTACAGAAAGTGGAGGCGCACTGTGGTCTTGTGCGACTTATTTATATTTTACCTTCATCATATTCGCCTATATAAACTATATAAAAATGAATCTTGTTTTGAGCCTGGGAAAAGGCCTAGAACCAGAATATCGACTGTCATGAACCTGTCCGGGCGTAATGATTCATATAATAAACGTGAAAGACAAAATTAATGCTCAAACTCCAAGTTGTTGTTGTAGTTGTTGTTGTTATCGATCCAGCAACAGCTGGGCTCTCGCCCTTCTGTCCAAACTCCAAGTAGAATAATAACTTGAATAGCTCAAGTAAACCTATTCAGAGTGAGAGGTGTAAGAACTGTTGGAGGGCAAGATACAGTGACACTGAAAATCTGCGAATCTTGAACAAAAAGCTAAAACATAGAGACAATTTACTGTCACCCATCGAATGAAACGCGAACACTTAGGCCCCTGCCCTAAGTTCATTAACACGCTTACAAGTAGTTATGACGGATCCCGATTATACACAAGGCATGCACAAACGCGCACTTTACTTTGCAGAGAGCTGTAGTAGTAATCAAAATTCTAAATATTAAAATTTGCTTCCAATTTCTTTTCTTTTTTTGTCCTCTGGTGTTGCGTCCAGCCCTCCCCCCATCCCCGAGTGTATACGGAATCCTGTATTTCACAGCGCTCAGAACGCGGGCAGGTTCATTGACCGGTCACAATGACGAGCCCGACAAGACGCTTTTATAACTTTCCCCCCCCCCCCCCCACAAGTGACAGCACAGTGACGAACATTATTTTCATGGCGACACCACGTTTGTAATGCAGAACCTGCATGTTACAAATGTTGCGTATTCAGACTTTTACAGACAAATTTCTGAGATCTTGATTTTCCGGTCGAGCCTCGGTGTCACATACAATTCCGCTTGCCGCCATAGCTGCCTGTTTACGTGAAACGTACTCTCACACCGGGAAAAGCCGAATTAACATCACAATCGCGACCGGCAAAAATGAACTTAAAGACGTTATCGGATTTGGTTTACAAATAATATTCGAGATCTTTTATGTATTTTCCCGCGTCTCGGCGATTTTTTTTCTTCAAATTCCCAGGTAATTCCCGAGGCTTGGCAGTCACTCTGCTCCCAGCAACTCTCTTTCTGATTGACCTGCTTTCGCAGTAGCGGAGTACATGGCGGTAGCGGAAATCCGCTACATAGCGGAATATTGAGACCCATGTCTCTATGCCATGTATTTAAGAATGAACTTTGACCTGCTTACAGTTGCCCTTAGATGATACATTTATGACTGCTACAACAATGGAAATGTCCTCCTGTATGTAAACCACAATCAACATTTACACTAATGAAGGTGAGCTCTGTGAATAAATAATTATCACAAAAGCGGTGATTCTAAACGAATACATTTAATGGCCATAGAAGGGTTGTTAAAATTATAGCACATGGTTTTGTCGTTAATTTATGAAACTTTTGTTTGCTTAAATACATTTGGTTAAAGACAAATACCAGAGGACATGACATGAAAACCCACCACCCATAATTATTAAATATTAAAAATGTACTGTAAGTAAACTCAGAAGCCCATCAAAATTTAATAAATACCCAGTACAAACAAAAATGCTTGATCACTTGATCCTGGGAACAACATCATAGCACTCCGGGCATTGCCATACGTGCTCCGCTCCCCGCTCCAATATCCACCCCAGAGTCTATCTGCTGATCGTTACAGTGTTCATTTGGTTATTAACCCGTCTTTCCATCCCCTGTACCATGCTGGTTCTGCCACTTCCTCTTTGTTTGTTTAGTATGGGGTTTTACGGCGTTCGCAACTGCATACGGTAATATGAGAGCGCGAAACACAAGTTAGTTTTATTCGCAGTTTACTGTACGGCTGGGCACAGGTCAGTAGTTAGATCTTAAAATGTTAAAATATTTAAAATTCGGTGTAAATATATATTTTCAATCTAAAACACCTTTCCTAAATAACTTTGAAAAATTTAATAATTCAATTTCACTCTTTAATTTCCCATTATAAAGGCCAATGGCCTTCATAAAATCCACTTCCTCTGAAGACACCCAGTTCTTCAAGTCGTAATATTGGCGCATAGTCACGCTCAATCTCCTTATCTTCAAGTATGGTGGCAAGGGCCTTCACGACATCATTTTTGTCCATTTTAATGTCAGTATTGACAGGTGCATTGCTCGCCAGTTTGTCTGCTTGTTCATTTCCCACCACACCCGTATGGCTTGGAGCATAGGTCTATGTTATTTTTCTCAGTCTGGTTTCTTCTATACTTTGCAGCCATTCTTTTCTCAGCATCCACTAATTGACTCTCTGAAATATGTTTTGAGAGTCAGTGACAATGACAGCAAGTCTGGCAGAATGCAAGCTCTCTTTTAGCTATTCAAATGCTTTTGTCACTGCCTCTACCTCCATTCTTGTGCTTGAAATCGTCTTGCTGCATGCACCAGATGATTTTTTAATTATGTGGCCATCATTATGTACAACAAAGCCTCAACCACTTTTCACCCCACGTTTCGTGGAACCATCAGTGTATATTACTGGATCCAGGGGCCTGGAGGTTTCCTCGACAATCTGTCTTACTTCCAACTCTCCTGTTCCTGCCACCTTCAGTACATCTCCCTTCTTCACACCAATGATGACTCTTGTCAAATCGTGTGCAGTCTCTTGTGACACTTGAATCCACTCACTGCCATCATTCATATCATGTAACTCACACACCTTCTTCATAGACTCTTCTGCCTGTGCCATCCAAGATTTACCTCTCTTTAGTCGAGTCCCTCTGTCCTGCTTGATCACTGGGTGAAGTGGGTGGCCTTCCATTTCCATAACTTTCAGGTACGTCTTAGCCTGAGCCAATTTGTGTCTTACTCGTATACTGGAGAGTCCAAGTACGTGTCTCAGACAAACAATTGGAGTGTCTCTGGTGCAACCAAGGACAGTACGCATTGCCTCATTTTGAACCCTCCCCAATTTTTCTATTTGAGTTTTAGAGAGAGTTAGCAAGCCCAGTCCACAATCAATCACAGACTACCACAAGTTGCATCATAATGAACAGGATTCTCTGTGGCATCAACGCATTCGCCATCACTTTGACTGCACCAATCCCCTTTCTCGCCCTAGAGATTATGTTATTTACGTGCTTTCCAAATGACAAAGAGCGGTCAAATGTGACATCCAGGTTTTTCAGTTCTGTTCCCCTGTCAATGACCTCATAGTTCATCGTCACTGGTGGCGTTGGGTCCTTCACTATTCTGTTATTGAGCGAGCACCACATCACTTGTGCTTTTGCTGGATTTGTAACAGCCTCATTCTCCTCGCACCACTCTTCAATCGTTCTCAGGCGCTGTTGTAGTTTCTGAGCAAATACCATTCTATCAGGCCCATGCTCATAGGCTGTCACATCATCAGCAAAGGTAAGAGTCCTTCCAGTCTGGAAACTATCATCCCTGGCCCCATCTGCTGTGTAAATGTTGAACAATAGGGGGGGACAAAGGTGAGCCCCGAGGGAGACCTGGTGCTATCTCCTCGGGATCAGACATCCATGTTCCTTCCACTTCTCAATGCTACCTTTCTTGTTAGCCTAGCACCAGCAATCCATCGAACCAGAAAAGGATCAAGATCCAGGTCCATCATCTTGTGGATTAGCTCTCATAATCCACCCTATTGTAGGCGTTCTCCAGGTCGATTGCAGCTATGACTGTTTCCCCCTTTGCTTGAAAGCCCTCATAGATGTCATAAGCCATTACAGACGCATTGATGGTTGTGTCCCTTCCAGGACGATAGCTGCCCAATCCATCTGGGAGGAGATTCTTTCTCTCCAGTTCTCTGGATAGTCTTCTTGCTATCACTTTTTCCAGGACCTTACCAAACACATTCTGCATAGTAATAACTCTGTAACTGTTCATGCCCTGTGATCTTTGCCTGGTTTAGGTGTTGGAGCAAGGTAGCTGCGTTGCCATTCGTCAGGAATCACACCTGTCTGTATTCTTTTATTCATCACTGCTGCTACCCCCTCTTCAACTGACAGATTTCTGAGATGGCTATACCTGACGCCATCTGGTTCACCTGCGCTTTCCTTTGAGCTTTTAATTACAGACTAGACCTCATCTACAGACAAAGGATCTGGGTACTTGCATGCAGGGCAAATTTCACCAACCATGGTCTTGGCCTGTTTTCTGAGCGCCAGGTTACCCCTATCTGACTGTTGCAGGAATCTCTTCAGAAAAGCTTGGCCCTTATCTGCATCCTTGATCAATGATCGTCCATCGTAATCTTTGATGTTTTTTGTGATGGTCTTAAGTACTGTACCGTTCATTTGTAGGTGTATTCTCCAAAATTTGCCAAGTGCTTTGTCGGCAGTCACACTGCTTGCAAATTCCTCCAACTTTTCTCTCTTTGCAGTTTCAGCAATTTCCGTGTATCTTTCTCGTGATTGTATCATTTTCTCTTTCAATACTGCCTTTTCACAGTCCGTGACATCCTGCCGATTCTTTGCCTTGAGCCACACCTTTGCTGTTTTTGACTTCTCATCCCACGCAGCCTGTGTTTCGTCATTCCACCAAGGAGGTTGGGTGAATCTGTGTGGAAGTGCTTTTCCTGCCCAAGCCCTCTTTCTGATCTTGGAAAGAACTGTTTCATCCTGCCCATACCTTTTTTCCTTCTAGTGGGCAGCTTTATCTCGGCCTTTAGCAACCAGGACCGAACATGGTAAATGATCACTACCGTGACTGCACAATACACTCCATTGTGTAAATATCTCATCAGCGGTAGATACCAAGGCTAAATCAATGTTAGAGTCCTCTTCATTGTCTCTTTGTGCCAGCCTTGTCATCTCTCTGCTGTTGAGGAGCGAAAAATTCATCCCAAGCAGGGCAGTCTAGAGCCTTCCCCTGAGCATTTTCATTTCCCCATGATTGGGATCGAGCATCGTAGTCACCCACAATTACAACAGTATCTCCAAGACCTTCAAAAGCAGACAAAAAAATTCCAGTCTTCATCTTTTGTAGCAGTCTCTACACCAACATACACATTCACAATCACCCACCTCCTTCCCCCCACCTACATCAGTATTGCCCGAACCTATCAGTCCTCTCTATCCCAGGCATCCACACCAAGAACCTGATGTTGGAGATCAGTTCTCACTAGTAGTACCTGTCCGTGATGGGTCCTAGAGGTGGGATTGCTCTTGCAGGTGTATTTGGGCATTTCAACGTTTTAGTTTTTGTTTCCTGCAAGAGTACAACATCAAAGTCGTAACATAACCTCTCCAACTCTCACCCTCTCTGCTTTGCGCTCCTGCAATTCCAATAACCCACATTTACATTTTCAAGACGCAGTCTTGCCGTCTTTTCTTGCCTTTTCTTTCTTCCGCCTCTTTACTTCCTTCTTCCACCTCTCTTTCCTCTCCTCCTTCCTCTCGACTCTGTGGTTTCCATTGGATCGGGTGTCGCCGAGGTAGCACAATCTACGTTGCTTCCAAACCGCTCCCATAATAAAGAAAAAAAGAATAAGAATATGCACGGTGTCATCCAGACCAAATAATAGGCATGAAGACAACAAACAGGAGAATATTCTTCACTTCTCCCTGGAAATAAGAATACTCTTCACAAGCACCTGCTTGAGTTGCTTTGGTTCCATGTCAGGTTTCTATGTCCTATTCCAATCTACTGTTAGGTCTCCCCCTCCGTCTCTTGACATCTACCTTTCCCCTTCAAGAATATGTTTCTTGAGTGAATCATGAATCATCTCAACAAATACTCTACAAAATTAGAAGTGCTCACTCCTCCCCTCTCCCTTTGCTTAAGGGAAGACCCGGGTTGGCGATATATCGATAACATTTTTCAAAATATCGATTTTTTGTTTTTTGTAGAAAAACATCCTTTGATATCTGTTCTATCGGGTCATAATGACGAAATTGTAAAAAAAAACAAAAAAAAACACCCTAAAGGATCTAAAAGGGCGTTTGAAAAGTGCACATTGAACTAAAAATCCTTTTAAAAATTCCTGTTTTTTCCGTCTTTCTCAAAATATGCTTTTTTACAGATGTGACCTCCTTGGTGCAAGGAATTTAAAAAAACTACTGAAGCTAGAAGTTTCAAATTTGACCTACAAGTGCTTGAAGATCTATTCTGGGGATCTACGTGAGGAAATTGGAAAATATGTGGAAATATTTTTAAAAAATTATAACACATAACCCAAAGTTTCGTCAGCTGACTCTTGGGGGTCCATTGACTTTAGGCTCACTTTTTCATTTTTAAAGATGGGTCAATATTTATTGGTAGTCTAGCACTGAATTCACTAAGAAAAAAACAACAGGTTGAACACAACAAGCCCTGCTTGAAAAAAATACCAACAACACTCTCTCCATCTTCCTCTTCTACAACCACAGCAGATATTTCACCGCAGATCGAAATGAACATCCATTAAGCAAATTAAATGCAAATGTAGCAAATTAGCTCTATCACACTCACTTGAATTGGTTGGCTTCTTTCCAGTGAACACTTCCTTGGCAAAAGTTGAAGCCAGATGAAGACTTCGAACACAAATGTCCATCAGCCTGTTGAATTCCATTTTGAGTTGAGATTACAGGTCACAGCAACAAAACAGATAGGGGAAACTATTTTAATGGACAACATTAAACTCAAACAGTCCAGAGATATTCTTAAATTTTACTGTAGTTGTCATAGCAAAATAGGAGAGAAAAGTTGTGTAATGATGCAGTGGAATCAGGCACTTGTCAATTTTTGAGAATATGGAGTTATTTGTAACATGTTAAAGTTTGTTCCTTTACCTTGTTTTTGATGTAAAATATATACACCTATTTTCAACAGAAGTCGAGATATTTGCGATTGAAGGAGGTGGGGGACACCTGGTTTTAGAGACAAAATTTATTAAAAAATGGCCGTCAAAGTTTGTCGACTTCCAAAGCTTAACTCTTTTCAGACGTATCGCCGACATATCGGCTGTGATAGGATGCCTCAGTATTGTTTCGTTTTAACATGATCCGTCATTAATAATTACTTTTTATTGTTATTGAAAACTTGGAAAGGGTTTAGGAAACGAAAATATCTAGTTTCCTTTTGTCTAAGCGTCGGTTTGGCGAAAAACGAGTGAATTAGTTCTTGCGGTCTTGCATCAACAGAATCATGTAACAGGACTCAGTATAAATATTATAACGCCAACAAAAATTGGAATATTGCATTCAAATCAAAAACTGCACATTCAGAAATTTCTGGAATTTGCTCTTGGCCTGTATATGATAAGATAGTTATGCTGATTTGCATTCACATGTTAGGTGAATGTAATTTTTTGCATCAACATTTTTTTTTCTCATCACCATCGCCATTTCTAACCCTTGTAATGCAGGCTTGTGTTCAAAATTAATCCTTGTTTCATGTTGGAATGTATTCCTCATTCAATTTCCTTCAATTTGATATATCATATGTTCCGTTTTGAGTGATGGTTATGCTTATATGAAGTTATTTTGTCCATCACCTGTGTAGCCAAATCGAGCCACACCTGTGTAGCCAAATCGAGCCACAAATTAATTACTTCTAGACCCCAAAAGAAACCATGTCCGGAAAGAGTTAGAATCCTTGGAAACTGCAAGTTTACATTTTTTTGTGCCTTTGATTAACATTTTTCAATGAAATCCACGCAGAAATGTTTTTTTAAATGGACATATCTAAGGGGCTGAGCCAAAAAATAAAAAATCTATAAAAAATGCCAAACTGGAGGAAAAATGCCGGATTCTTCGATTTCATTATTTTGACGAGCACCAGATTTCATCACGATCCCTCACAATTGTTATGAGGGAAAATACTAAGCTGTCCAAATATACTATAAACTTGACAGTTGTGGTTTTCATAGCAAAAATTAGCAATGCCAATGAAAATTTAGATTTTCACTTTTGCCCTTTTTTTTTTGGTACCTAAGAAAGAATTTTAAATTCTAAGAATTATGCTTCTTGAATTTTGAGAATCGGTTCATAAATTAAAAAGTTATGGGGTTGTAAAGGTCGGCAAAATATGGATGACCCACATATAGGAAAATACTCCTAAAAAGTGGACCACGCAGTAGCAGATTCTGTAAGAAAATCGACGATATCTCCGTAACTAATCGGAGTGTTCGAGATGTGTTTTTGAGTGTAGAAATCATTTCTGCAGTCAGATTTACTATCAATTTCGTAGTTATTTTGTTATAATTAAAATTGTGGTGTACATATTACGATTTTGCGAAAAAGGGGTGTCGGGATGAGTCCATTTTATTTATAGCATCGTATCACAACATGGGATCTTTAAAAATAAATGTCGGCAGCGTGACTAAATAATTGCAAAGCTTTTTATGATGACTTTAGACCATGCCAACCGTAAAAGATAAGTTAATTCAATCTAGCATGCCGTACAATTAAAAATTCTTTTTCCCCGTTGAAACGCGAACACCCCGAGACGAGATAACCTCGCCTCGGAATACCCCCATTGCGGTGTTACAGGGGAATAGAGAGAAAAACAACCGGATGTGCGCGCCCGCCATTGCCCTATTTCAAGTGACCAATGAACGCGCCCAGAATAGTCATGCGGGGATTTGTAGGTCACATACATTTGCCACGAGATTGAGGGGAAAATGGCCGGTCTCCGTGCGAAGCCGCTTTGGATAGGGGGGTAGTCATGCATTTATGATCGGGTCTAAACAACTACTTGACACAGAACGTTCAAATTTGAGCACACTATAGAGGATAGATAGATTTATTACCATCTCGGCGTTGAAATTCAAACTCCTTATAGTTTTCGGTGTACACGATACGAAAGTGTTCCCGACACCAAAAGTATAGGTTAATTTATGTTTACGAACTTCAACGTCCACATATCATTGGTTTGCCCTATTTTCTGATTGGTTGCCGAGTTTCATTCGGATTGGTTCGGAAATAGAGCAGACAGAGGTTGACAAAGTCAGTCACCTACGCTTCGGCCGGGTCCGCAAAATCGCCCCTAAACCGGGACCAAATTTTCGCCTCGCGGAAAGCCCGATTGGCATTGCTACAAAAATACACAGGAAGAATTATACAATGGACAACATTACACGCTCCGGTTCACATATATTCTAGATTATACAGTAGCTGTCATTACAGGAACAAAAAGGAGTAAATCTATGAGAAACAACATCACAGTACTTGCAGAGACTTTATACTTTACAGAAACATAATTGATATAATTGGAAAAGAGTGAAAGAGATAGTCTGTTGAAATATGGCAAATGCACTGAAATCACTAGATAATGTTCATCATGGTACTTACTGATACTTCAATTCATGGGACACATACGTGTAATATAAAACTGCAACGTATGCCCAAGTGGGGAAACATACATGAAGAAGGGGGGGGGGGGGGTTTTCGCCGTCAACTTACACAAAATGATAAATGACTTGTGCCATTATTATAGGCTGTTGGTGATATCATTTCACCATTATCCACTTCTCACTTTTCTTTATGAACTTGTCAACAGTAATGAACAGGCAAACAAACACACACAGACACAAACATCATGTACAAGCAAATCTACACAGGTACATACATACATAAAATAAACACACATAAACATAGATATACACAAACAAAACACATGACACGCAATTTCTCACACATACACTAAAATATACACACACACTGACCCACCCTCACATGCACAATATTGTCATAACCGACCACACTACATTTCCTCAACCCCTTTTCCACAACACAGACATCCTTTTACTAGAGCCAGTGGTGTCATACTTAGGTTCTTCATCCTTGCACACAGACAACATGTGTTCAATTCCCATATGGGGAAATTATTTTATCGAGTATTTTAATCTGTTTGCTGGTATGTTGTACCTCACTTTGTGTAAAACTTGTTTCTGGCAGACAGGATTTAAGCAGCCATCCTCTTAAACGATCAAATTCATGTGTGTGTGGGTGTGTGGAGTGAGGGTAGTAAAACATGTACAATCTAAAAAAACCCAACCCTAGTCCTTTTGTTCATAGCCTTTACCTGTGTTCACCAGTCTTCCTAATCCACTCAATGGTGCTGGGCACCGCAATGCCGTTGTCTGAGAGCAACGCTGCTGGCATCCTCATGCTTGACTGGACCAGTGCCACCTTGACTACAAAGCCATTAGCAAACTTAGTGACCTTCAGCACACGACAGTGACCCACCCAGGTGATGGGATGACCTGTGTTGACCACTGCGGCTACAGACTCCTCCAGGACTGGCTCATCTGGGACCTCAATGTCTGCGTAACGCACACACATGAAGTCCAGGCTGTAGCTCAGGTCATCAGAGAAAACGTTGTCGTTGCCTAAAAGCTCCGAGGCTGCTTTAGCTCCTAAGAGAAGGGGGATGGTCAGGGGAGGGGGGGAAACAACATTAGGTACAGAAGACTCCCCTCTTGGTTTGTCTCTACAGCATATTCAATTCATCATTTCTTTCCAGCATCAGGTTTCACACCCATGATAATGTGGAATCAAAATCCGATCCTGTACAGGTTTCTCTCTCTCTCTCTCTCCACCCAAAATGGGCTACGGGTTATAAGGAACATGTGTACAGCCAGGTGACACAGGTCCCCAGGATAACAACTATGTAATATTACATACATATATCGTATAGCGAGTCATTTTTTCATTGTTGTTGTATGTCTCTTCCTTATGTGCCATCCTAATGACCTGACAAATCTCAGACATGCAATGATTACAAGGCCCAAGGATCCTCAAAAATGCAATTTCTCTGGGTAAGCCAAGAACAGATTCACATCCCCATCTGAACTTTCAAATAAAGGGCTTGAAATATTTTTCTAATGGTAAAAATAAAAAAAGAATTGACAATACTTTCTTTTCACTGTGAATTTCTTGGACAATTGCATTCATACAGAATCTCTGCAAGATGTTGTATACTATCAGATATATATTTTGAAGTGAAAGAAAATGTATCTCAGTAGTCTGAACTATATTCAAGCAAGCCATCAATCCCTCTTCCCAAGAATAAAGTTTACCAAGATCTGGCTGGAACGAGCTGACACGACAGAACTCTTTAGAGAGAATGAACTCTCCGTACACCACAGAAGAACCATAATGGGGAGAAGTCTCTGCCTTCCAGGTAATCTGCACCGAACGCACAGTGATCCGCTCCCCACTAGCCACCGCTTCCCGAGCACATTCCTCTGCCAGACCTCGCAGCAAAGGAAAGACAACTTGCAAGGTATCCTCCGAGGCACAGGCCTGCAACATTTGAAATCATATCGCTACAGTAGGCAGATGAACACACATCAAAATGAAAATTGAACAATGGTATCCAGAATTAAGGGTCTCACACTATTTTTAAAAAAAGATTTTTTAGTAGAGGGTTTTACGGCGCTCGCAACTGCATAAGGTCATATGAACGCCAAGGAATGGGTGTCAACAGAGAAGTCTTTACAGGGAATCAGACTTACTCTGCTCACCACTCTAGCTTCAACAGCCCAAGGTCTACTTCAACTATCAAGGCACCCTGGAAATATCAGGTCACAAGAGTGACAAACACACAAAGGAAGTAGAGGAAAAATGACAATAGTAAGGATCAGGAAAGAAAAAGCAGCAGTTCCCTGTTGTAGATCAGGCACAGTTATGAGCGTGACATGAATCAACCCATTTACAATTCTACTGTGCTTGAACGAGAAATGTCCCCCCTTTGGGAATGGCCTAAAGACACTACAGTCAGTGGCACTGCTCCGGGGGGGGGACTTACACTATTGTCACAGGACATAAAAGGTCAACCACAACAACACAAAACATCAATGGTTGTGGCTCTGGAACAGTGCCAATCATCATTACAGGAACATAAAATGCCAACCAATTAAGTTCACATGTCATCGTTTGTAGTGACAGCACAGTGAGTTTACACAAGCAGCTCACTGAACAGAAAGTTAACACCCCGCCCCTCCCCAAAGTACAAATACTTAAATCATTAAATCATACCCCATTAGGGAGAGACCTCTCCCACCCCAAGAAGTAGCCAAGAAGCTAAGAAGGCACAAGTTACCTGTGGCGCATCCTGCGTGGCAGTACCCACAAAACATTTAACGGCGTCTCGCTGGTGCTCCAGGCACAGATCTAGGCTCGGGGTGATGTTCAACAGCTGAATGCTCGGCCTCACCAGACCTTCCCTCACCTCCGCAGACAGCTAGAGCATGAATAAAAGTAAACTCTCGCTATAATTCATTTTTCATCGTGTCATGCTTTCAAGCATTACAGGACTGTGCAACTACAAATAAACAGAAGAAATTAACGAAAGAAACATTGATAAGTATTCATCCTTTATTGTTTCATCCCTTTACATCTTAATGGAACATGTAACAATCAAATAACAAGAAAAGAGAGGAAACAAAGAGTTGACCTGAGTTACGAAAAGCCAAATTTGATGATTTGTTAATCATAAGTGGCTGGTCAAATCTGTGGAAATCTTGCTACGCCACTTCCTGACCAGACTTTTGTTTATGGCTTGCCCACATACCTAAAGACCCAGAGTGATATCAGTAGGCATATCTGGATGGAGTACGTAAATCAACTTATGGTCTAGCAAGCACATTGCAAACATGCACATGGCAAACATATTCCTGGTCCCGAATTTTCACACAAACATGTATTTCTTTGTTTATACAGTGGAACTCAGATTCAACGAGGTACCTAAAATCTCGTTGAACCTGAGTGTTCGTTATAGCAAACACGAGGTTTTGTGTAGATAATTACAGGCACTGAGCAAGTAATGTATAAATTGAAGTCACAAGTAGTGCCTGAAATGCCTGCATATTATTATGAGCTGTGTAAAAAATGACCGATTCGTTCAAATGCACACGCCTGTGTCACCTCGATTGTTTACCAATAAGTTGTGTAGCATACGGCAACTTTTGATTCCATAGACCAGCGCACAATTCATTACGTAGATCTACGTCAGATTAGCTTATCATTGTAATTATGATCAGTTGCCGAGGGGAAAAAAGACTGTGACGCATTTGTATCTGTGACGTTCAACGCCCGGACGGCTAGTGTCCCCTCCTCCCCCTACACGTACACAGAGTCACACGTGTGCACCCTGGAAGCGACCTCGCTGAATCCGAGCTCACTGATTTAAGTGCTCGTTGAATCCGGGTTATTTCTATTGATTTTAAAGAAGAAGAAACAAACGGGGAATCTATCTCATCTCGTTGGATCCGAGCACGTTGAATCCGAGTTCCACTGTAACACATTTACATTGCAAAATTTTTACATTACTACTAATTTTTTTGCATAACTCAGATGTGCATGCTATTGATAATTAGCTCAATCCCATATATTTAGGTGGTCGAGCCCAAACCAAAATGCCATCAGTGTGTAAGTTTGCCTTCTTTTAGAGATTTTCCCGTAGTAAAATGTGAGGAGAACGCTACAGGCCAACTATTCATGTGGAAAAAATGATAAGTTGCATGTAACTTTAAAGTAACTGAGCCGAGCATCAAGTCCATATCTATAAAATAAACAGTCGGTCAAGGATGACCAAACAAAAGATGTCTGGACAGTGAAACTCGGTTCTGCCACAGTACAACTTGATGACAACAGAAACCACAGATATGGCCAGGTGGGCGAACTTCACTTCTCGTCTAAACATTTTAAACATCGAGGAAAAAAGAGGACAAAGTTATCCTTTAGTGAGTATAGTTTAAGTAAAAGTTTTAGGCAAATAGGTTATTTCAATATTGAGGATTAGAGGAGTTACTAGAGAGTAACATGCAAAGTAACATGAAAGAGGAGCCGCAAAGATGATAGATGTTTGATAAGAAAAAAGGAGCAAACCCTATGAGACCACTCGTCAACCACCCACCTTTACGGAATACAATCTGAACTTTCAAATAAAGGGTTTGAAATATTTTCTCTGATAAATAAAAAAACAAACTGACAGATATTACAGGTGCAACATTCTGATGCCATTGTCATGAGACAAAGTATGTTGGCTATTATAGTACACAACACTACCACCTGTAAAGGCAGAATTGTGTTAACTGTCAAGCAGTACAAAAATATCGATCTATACAGCACAAACACTCATGTGTAACGAGTGTACTGGACCTTGGAGTTTTTCTCAAATATTTGATTGAGAAGACGAAGTCTTAAATCCCAGCTATCTACAACTATGCTTGTTCGAACCAGTATTTAAACCTGGCACTCCGGCAAGCGATGCAAGCCATTGCCTCAGGCCAGTTAGAAACCAGACTGAACCATTTTTAAGAAACCAATAAATACCCAATCCACATTGTGCATGGCCTACTAATTCCTTTATGGCCTGATTACTTGGTGCTATAGGCTCTTGAAGCTGGCTGTCGAGGTGACTTTCAAAATTTCTTTAATATCTGCAAAAGTTTAGACACTATCAATATTTACTGAGCCTGAAGAGTCCAGTGTTACCTGGGCCAGAGAGAAGCGAGGGCTAAAAATATCCCAGCCCCGCAAGGGTTAAGAACAAACATGAAGCACACAGCTCACCTGCACCGTCAGAGGCTGTCCCTCGTGCAGAGTCAAAGTGAACGGCACGTAGTGACGCATCTGACCGTCCTTGCTGAAACCACTGGCCACCTCCATATGGCTGCCACTGGAAACATCTTCACTCACTTGAATCTGGTTGGAGATTTCCTGGATGAAAAAAAAAACCCCAAGAAAAACAATTACTTGTTTACGCTGAGGGGCGCAATGTAAATAAGACTTGATTGTAAATGTTCCAAGAAACAGAATAGAGATCAGAAAGATAGAAAGGGCTGCATTAGCCCGGTCAGTCAGGGCCAGCAGGATAAGTTCCAGAAGACAGATAAAAATATTCTACTAACTAAAGGCAAAAGTAAAGAATAATCTGCCCCTACTTTCGTGCAAACTAACATTTGTAGACCACTCTTTCCTGTTCATGTAAGACGCAGCTGCAAACCTGCTGTGACCCTGGATCTTAATCAGCCAAACAGTCACACTGAATAGATGAAAGAGTCTATCAGCTCACAGTACTGTGCTTTACACTGGGCACCAGAAGTGAGAAAGCCCAATACCACTGAACCACTGACGTCATGAAACACCATGTGCTGTCACACACTCATGTGTAGGGCCTTTGTGAACTAGCTTCTCCGAGACAATAGGCTACGACCGACCGAAAGTCTTGAAATGACCTAACATTCACTATCCTGGCATGACTAGGCCTATACACGGTGCCTACGCCTACTGATGTGTGTGATAAATGTAGGCAAACAGTACACTGGCAATGCCTCTCTATGGTCCACAATTAACACCTGGATGCTCTCATCATGAAGCATGCAAGTCTTGATGGTCTGCATTACTGGAGAGTTGCTAGTGAAGACTTAGATGACATAACCCTTGAAATTCTTTTCAGATTAGAAATACAAAAACAAAGAAGAAAAAAACCAAGACATTTTATTTTCTTTCCATTTACCATTGTTTTCGGATTAACCATATTCAATTTAATCCAACTCCACCGTATATTTAATTACATTCATTGTGGATGTTATTACGTTAACATTTGTTTTCTTGTATCTACAGACATACAGTATAGACATACATGTTTTTATTCAATGTGTTGACATACAATTCTTTTGGAATTAAAGCTATAGATCTAATTTTTTAAAATTTCTTTCCACAAATTATTTAAAAAAGCAACACAAAAACATAGAGCAGAGCTTCCAGCAGCTGATGTCATTTTTTGAGGATTTTCGGGTCCAGCGCAGCGCCCTGGTAAGGGATCGAAGGGGGGAGGCGCCCCCCTTACGTTTGAGATTTTTTGGTTTCAGGGTATCCTAAGTATGCCATTTCTGGCTATTCAAGCCAAATTTTAATAAGAAAATAAGTGAGAAAAAAACATTCCTTGCATAGGCCTACATAATTTTCTGCTTGTGTTAATCCATATAAATCCAAAGCCATGCTTTCTCCCTTGTACTGATACTGCTCATCCACAACAGTAGTATAACAGCTGGATCTATAAAACTTGACAGTTAATGTTCAACTTTTTTTCTGCATGTGTTGGTTTGCACCATAATGTGTAGAATCCTTATATAATAGTATAACGGCTAGAATCTAGATCTAAATACCATGACAGCTTATATTCAACTTAAATCCTCAACAATATGTACAAATAAACAAGTCTGATGAAAAAAAATCAAGCTCTATTCAGCGTTTTCTTTTTTTGGCAGGCCCAAGATCTATTGAACCACAAACGTCATGTCTTCATCTTGTTTACAGTGATTGTGCTCTGCTTATGCTTAAGAAAGTGAAAGTAAAAGACACTGTCTACATTTTGAAATAAAAGGGCACTTCCGGTATGGGTTGGCTATTGTTGACTCTTAGTAATTACGGAAATATTTTATTTCGCATTAAAAAAAACCCAACTTCTTAAATATTTTTTTTTGCACGAATTTTCATAGAAATTTTTCCATTTGCGGCATTCTGCTAATTTGCGGAAAGCAAAATTGCGGAAGACTGGAAGCACTGATAGAGAAGCAGGACTAATATGGCTCCTCACTTGCACAAGAGTGGCGATTGCTTCTTCATTTCTCTCCCTGGTGGCTCCCAGCAGTTTTTGCCACAGGAGGGTAGGGATGTTGTACATCAGCCGGTTAGTGGTCAGCTCCACCGTACCAGATGATGCCCGTGAATTCAGCAGATCTGTTGATGAAGTGTTTTCAAGTTTTAGTAAGAATTTTGCAGTACTTGCAACACACAAGTAGGTGCGTCATACATGTGCCAAAGATTAGGGGTTACTAGATAAGTAACATACAAATAAAGGGAGTAGAGATAAGGCCGATGGATGTTTGATAAAAAAGGACCATGCCAGAACACCCCCCAACCGTCAACTGACAAAGTGTGTAAGTGTGTATCTTTGCTTGTACTAGAGTATTAAGAGACACAACTAACACGTTCATGGTCACAGAAAACTGGGGAAAAGTCATGTTATGCATGTACAAGAGATTAAAGAGCCACACATGGGCACAATACAATGGTCATTGAGAGCTTATTTTCAGTACGAGTTTTACATTTCTTCATATTTAACATCATTTAAGTGCCCAAAAGTAAAGACATTACTGGAGAATTAAATTTTTTTTTTTAAAGGAAAAAGAAAAGGAAAGAAAAAAAGAAAAGAAAAGAAGGAGGTGAGACAAGGATGATATATTTGACAGGAGGTCATTGAGAGCTGGGAAACGCTGTGTTTGCTTGCACAAGAGATTAAAAAGACAAATATAGACCAAATAAAATGGTCATTGATAGTTGGCACAAAAAGGTGTATTTGTTTGAACATGAGATTACAGAGACACACATCTCATTTTCACAGAGCAATAGCAAATTTATATCCACACCATAAGTCCAATTTTTCCTCAAAATATAAAAACTGATCTTTTTTCTCTGTGAGATGGAGAAATGAACAAGCTTTAAGATGATACCAATAACTCCACATGCCTAAAATTTGACAAGCGCCTGGTACCATTGTGTCATGAAACATTTATGTCCTCTTCCAGGGATCCCCCCCCCCCCCCCCCCCCCCCCCCCCCCCCCCCCACCACCTCACAAGCCACAACTCACCAACACTACTGTAAACCCTCTTCTCCCACATAAGGCCTGTTGTCTCCTCTGATGCCGCAACCGTAACCTTTCCAGGAGCCAGGTCACGGATCTGTAAGTCGCTGTGCCGGTCCCTCACAGCATCCAGCCCAGAGAAGCTGAGCTGGGCAGAGCAGCCGTCCAGGCTCTGTACCTGGCAACTGACCGGGATAGGGTGGACCTCTAGTGCCGAGCTCAGGTGGAGCTGGTACACCTCTCGATCGAACTTGGCCACCTGTCGCTCCACGCCTGTTGCTTGCCAGCAGATTGACTCTATCTCATCCGATGTGTATGGAGTGCCAGATCCCTCAATGTATGCTGAGAGAGCATATACAAATACAAAAGCTGTTGGGCTTAGTTTGAACAAATAATTATGTAGGTTTGTGAACCCATTATGTAGGAAGACGATCACATTGTGTCAGTTAATAAATATATATGTAGGAATACAAACATAATGTGTAGAACAATGAAAACGTTATGTGAAACTATGGAAATATTTTGCAAATTGAAGCCATTGTGCTGTAACCATTTAACTGAATTTTCTCTTTTTACAAAAAGCAGAAACAAAACCCCTTCCAATCTAAATGATGAGAATAGACATATTAGTTAGCCCACAGTACTTTTATATTATATAGTTTAACGGACAGGGCAGAACACCATCCACATTTGATCCAATTCAAATCAAAACCAGTGTTAGAAACTCCTCCACTGCCTTCTTCAAGACTGCCCACTGATGACAGTAGTGTAGTTGTTTTAGACTTTACCCCTTGCATGTAGCAGGCACGATTTTGATTCTTATGTACTGTGACATTTTAACTAGTATCTATCTGCTGTTTTTCTGTTGGGACGTATTCCACACATTGCTGGATTTGAAGCACACAGGCCGGGTTAAAGCATCCCGTCTCTAATATTATCTTAACTCTTATCTCTGAGGGAGGAGGGGTAAACCCACTATGCATGGGGGGGGGGTTCTTTTGGTAAGAAATCTAAGTGACATATACATCAGTAAATTGATTATTAAATCAAAACAAGGGATAGTTTGATAGTTCTTTATCTAATGAAAGAAATCCAGGTAAAAGAGGCCTGCTTTCCGCAATTGCCAAAAAGTAATTTAATGCCGACCAGCTGTTCTGACCGTGGGCCGCTGGGAGCAGCTTGCCAGAGATAAAGGAGTTATACTGAGTCAATATGGGTATAAAACATTTACAATTATTACAAGACTGTCTTAAACTCTCATTATCCACATCATGTATTTTAAGATCAGTTTCCCCTTTTACTGTCTATTCGATTTCTAACCTCAGAGGTAACATCTTAACTCATTCGCTACGTATTCTTTTCGGCTTGTGGACCAATTCTTTTCGGGAGGGCGAAATGAGATGATGACTAGTGCGCAGTTCACAGGTCTTTGGGGCCATAAATTCAAATAAATATCAACATATTATATACCAACATTTTCAGTATGGTTTGTAGAATACATCTGCATTATTTATTTGCGTATTTTTCAACTTTGGTGCCTGTAAGAGGCGATTATGCAACAATTGTGATTGGATGCGGATAAAATTGGAAAATAAAAAATTTATAATCTCAGGTGAAACTAAAAAAATATGTTTGCACCTCGTCAAATGATACCTCAAAATAACCATAACTGTATATAGAACAGGAAAATATTGAAAAATGTGCAGTTATTTACATACATTCCATAATATTTGTACATTTGGATCATAACATGCGATATTGAAAAAAAAATAAATTTTTTAATAATTTTGAAAAAAGGATCACAAACACAAAAAAATACGCGTAACTTATATGGAATTATTCAGAATTGCATTTGGAATAAACCTATATATGTCTTGAGTGGTACTTTTTGATTAATTTCACCCAAAAGTAGTGATTTTGGGGAGAAAATAATATTTTGACTATTTAGATCTAGGCCAAGATCTAGCACTCAAAAATATTGATTTCTCAATTACAGTGCACCGGCAATTTGCATCCAATAGTATCAATATTATAAAGAAGAGTCCTACACTTCTTTAGTGGGCAAAATAATGATACATTTTGTTGTGTAAAAGTAATAAGACTGGTGTCTGGGCTATAATTTGGGCTTCGCGATAAAACAAAGTCGAATAAACTACGAAATCATGTTTCAAAACTGAATCAAACTTCCGATTTTTGGTGGAAACGCTTGACCCGGAAGTCAACATTATATTATGACCTTAATTTTAACATGGATATGTGGATTGGAATAGAAACCAAGCTAAAATTGAACGTCGGTTCTCGAGCTGCCGGGGGCGGCTTAGCGTACTGACGGCACTTGAGCCGCGCCGCCCCCCACGGCTCGGCGTAGCGAATGAGTTAATCTCCTTATCAGATTCGAACGAAATCCTCTTATTCTCCCAAATCACAGAAAAATCATAAGCCACACCCCTGACTATTCCTGTCTCGTACCACCTCACTCACTACACGAGCCGAACTTACCAACCAGCATCCTCTGAACCACAACACTGATAAAGCGGTGCAAGGGACAAGTGAACTGGGTGTATGCATCAACACCCAGTCGGTAGTGTTTCCTGTCTGAGGGCGCCACCTGGTGGGAGCTGAGGAACAGCTCAGGCTGCTGGATGGCTTCCAGTTTCTGTGCTGCCACGGCAACTGTTGGCTTGTTGTTATCACTGCAGATTAAATCTGAGGAAAGGAACACATGCTGGTTTCTAATTTGAGGAAAGGATCATGCTCTGGTTTCTAATTTGAGCAAGAGATCACATTGTGGTATCTAAAATTGGAAAAAGATAACATTTTCGTTCTATATCTAAGGAAGGGATCACCTTCTGGTGTCTAATCTGATCAAAGGATTACATTCTGGTCTAAATTTACATTGTGAAGCTGGGCCTAAGCAGAAAGGATGATTCACCATGGTCTACTATGATCAGCTTCAAGGAAACCATGGCAACATCACCAACCTGAACTTCAGACTACAAAATAGTACAAATAGAATTGGGGGGTGGGTGTCGGCCACTCCTGGTTATAATTCTCCTTTCATCTCCAAAGTTGCCAACTTTTCAAATCAAAAACAAAAAAACACCAGACTTAACCACCACCCTCCTCCAAATTCTTCACACACACACTTCTCTACATGCAATAAATTCAAGTTATTCAAAGAAGACCTGCAGCAAAAGATCTCTCCACCTAACATCAAATCTGGTCTTAAAAGTTCCTAATTTTTCTTCAACAACAGCAAGTCCATGACGAGCAATGCTAGAAAATAGAGAATATGTTTCTTTTCAAAACAAAAGAAATGGACTTCTGTACCCAGACTCACAAAAAAATATTAAATAAATACGTATTTTACATGCTGGTTGGCAGCTATGCATGTCCATTGTATTGATTAACATGAATGCTAAATAACTTCCTCATTGTAAGAGCTATGATAATACTGCTTTGAAAAGCTTAGGACAATATAGAAGATGTAATGGGTCTTTTTGACACCCTAAATATTCCTTTTCAATGAGCACACACCTCACTCACTCAGACCCACCTTGAGCCAACTCAAAATCAGAGATGTCCTCACTGACTGCCTGACTCACAAAATTCCAGGCATCTTTAAGGAAAGCGACGCTGTCCGTGCTCTTCTGAAGACTGTTCAACAGACGGTTTTGTCGCATGTAGCCAAACACACACGTGCACATCTTAGTACAGCGGCACACCTGTTTCACAATCACAAATAAATCTTTTAGTTTTTTAGTTTTAGTAAGTTTTACTGCACTTGAAATAAAATAAGATCAAATAAGTGCCGAAGATTAGAGGTGCTACTATTGAGTAACATTAAGAAAAAAGAAGGAGAGCATTTAAAAAATGGCCACTCAAACAAAAGCAAAATCACCCAGTGGGCCTTCTAGAACTTGAGAGACAGCAGCTGTAAAGACAACTGGCGAACAAAGTAAACATCTCTGATATTTTTATTCAATAGCCGCCATTTATTTTAATTTTGTAAGAGCTCTATGGCAGTTGAAACACAATTAGACCATATAAATGCCAAAGATTAGAGTTGTTTCTAGAGAGGAACATTAGATGTTTGATAGGAAAGAAGGAGCATACGACGTCAGAGCAACCATCAACCACCCACTCAGCACTTTGAACTCCTCTAACATCTCAAATACAATGAAGTGTCAGTGACAAAGCAGTCACTACACACACATTTCTAAAATAAACTCACAAAGTACATTTTCAAAGACATTTTAAATGGTGGATTCATAACACAATAACAGGGCTGTAGGCAGAGCTGGTTGTAATGGAGTACAAGTACTCCAGTACTTGTACTTACGTTACAATTTTCGGTACTTTTACTGTACTCCGGTACATTTTGAGAATCAGTACTTTTACTGTACTCCGATACTTTTTATAAAAGTACTTTTGAGTATTTTAAAAGTACATTTTGAGTACTTTTGAAACTTATTGAAAGGGCATTTCTGATCATAATTTAGGGAACAAATACCCGGGCGGGCACAGCCGATCAACCAAGAGTTAAAACTTGAGATCAAAGAACGGCCCGTCGTGTCAAAGATCAGCCACTCTGATGAATGTGATCACAAGCATTGTAAAACTCCAAGAACCGGTACAATGTGTGCCCCAGATGGGATCACACGGAGGTGTGAACTGACCGATGCGTTTCTTTTCCCCAAACATCACACTCGCAAACTAAACTTACACCACTCGCTGGGTGGGTAGGGCCAACAAGTTCGCTCCAGGCAGGATCACATCGAACTGTGAACTCTTCCCTGACCATTGAAGGCAGTTTTTCTCTATTCCGGAATTTGCTAGACAGCCTGAATTTTAATTGGTGTGGTCACAACGTAATGGTGCGTAATGACAAAGACGGGGGGGACTCAATCAGAGATGGAAGGCTAAAATATTTGGACAGGTAAAGGGGAGAGGCAACTGGATAAACGTAGATAAAGATCTCGAGACTCATGATAGGCTAATGAGTGTATATGGCATGTCTCATGCCACCAGGCAACCGTGATTGGTCATCAAAGTTGACCACTCTTTGCTCGCCAAATGTCATAAACCCACCCAGGGGTCACGTCTGTTCATGGGTCACTGTAGATTCTTCCTTGGCTTCATCGGCTAAGATCCCGTATTTCCCTTGCTCCCGAGCACTGGGATCTTAGGCGGAGACTACTGTAGTAGATAATTTTTGGTTACACTACCCTTACTAGACTCTAGGAAACTACATGTACATGTATTTTGGTTTGCCGTGGGCGCCGTGGACTGCACAGTGTGACCAAAATCTGTCTTACCACTATTATAATCAGCTGAAACTGAAACTGAGTTCTCAATGTGGCGTCGGTGGCCTAGTGGTTAGGCTCTCGGACTCGAAACCGTAAGGTCGTGGGTTCGAATCCTGTCAGGGGCCCGACGTTGTGTCCTTGGGAAAGACACTTTGCACAAATTTTCCTCACTTCACCCAGGTGGAAATGGGTACCCGGCTATAGACAGTGAACGATCTTGTCAGTTTGGTAGTGCTTGAGCGCATTAAATCCGCAGCTTGCACTGCAAGCTTTCGCGGAAGCCGAGAATGTTTCTGGGTGTTCTCAGAGCATGCTCTTGAGAATGGATATGCGCTATATAAATGCAATTATTATAATTATTATTATGTGTATCTAACAATTTTTTAGGCTATCTAAATTTCTTTTTAACTTTTTTGTGATTTATGCTTAAGGCGGCCTTGATTCCTTGAAGATTTGTTAATGAAGAATTCAAGGCACTTTTCCATTTCTTTGCTGGCCATTTTCATCAATTCTATGTTTTTTAAGAGCAACTTCGTCTCTACATTTTTCAATTTGGATACTTTTCCTACTTTCCGACCTCTTGGACTGACTTACATTTGATCAAATTGTCTTGCTCAAACAAGTTGTATTCATAATATCACTTATTCACTAGTTGCATCTTTTTGTTTGCTTGTTTTTTAAAAATTTCACTGACCATTTCCACCTACGTTCAGTGCGTATATTCAAATGCTTTGTATACTGTTTACATTTTAGTAATAAATGGCCTAATTTGTCAAATATACTGGATATGTTATTTAATATGATGTTTTGTATTAGCATTGAAGTGTTTTAGCACTTTAGCAGAAAGTACTCAAAATGTACTCATAAGTACTTTTTTTAAAAGTACTTGTACTCAAGTACATTTTACAGGAAAGTACTTTTACTGTACTTAAGTACATATTTTAGATTGTACTTAAATACCTTTTTAAAAGTACTTTAACAGCTCTGGCTGTAGGCTACACCTAGGCATTATCAAGCTTCATTTGCAATAAATAAACCATAATCTATTGCACAATAACTACTATGGTGAAAGCAGCATATTTGAAATAAGTTCTTCGTCTATCTGGGTTTATTTTTCAAGGAAAGTTTTGTTAACACAAGCACCAAAAAGGAATAATCTATCATTTTCCAACAGCGGCACTAATTTCTCAGTTACTTATTTCCTATTATATTGCATTTTTGTCTCTTTCCACTTCATTGTATAGTGTTCAGAGACCATCTCTCATTGAGGAAAACATATTCCATTTGCTGTTCTTTTTTCTTACTTACAGCTTACACCCCCCCCTTATTTTCTCTCTCTCTCTCTCTCTCTCTCTCTCTCTCTCTCTCTCTCTCTCTCTCTCTCTCTCTCTCCCCCCCCCCTCCTCCCCTTTTCAATCAAAACAAATAATTCAAAAGACATTTCTAAATTATAAACAAACACAGACAAGCGTGCACATGCACCCTCACACACAGAGCTTCTGCAACAAAGTAGCAACACATACCTCGCCTTCTCTAAACGCCCGAGCCATTGACACACTGCTAAGTGCATGATAAGCATTCTCTATCCGCCAGCTGTCGAGCTTACAGCTCATAGGCCCGCTGTGCACCAGGAGTGGGGTTGAATCCTCAAACACAGAGAGCAGCACATCAGCAACAATGCTGTTGAACTTGATCTTCATCTGCAGACGAGAAACAGAAACACACCACCTTGACGCAATGAGCAAAGATCTATGCAAATGGGTCTCTGAGTGAACAAAGCTACACACATTCGTCAGACAGGAAGCATGTTGATGTTTTCAACCTTGAATTATGACACCCAAGACAAAATAATTATATCAATGTGAATTTATAGAAACTTTTCTAAATTAACCTCCCTCTTTCTCTTTCCACTCTTCCTACTTCCACCCTGAATAATTTTTATTTAAATTACATTGATAAGAAAACTAAAAAATATACCTCAGCAAAAAGATGCTATCCAGGTGTATTTCACTATCCAGCCAATGTTATTCTTCTTCAAGTATCAGATCTGACAGAGTCATCGATTATAAGAGTTTGTCACCCATTTCTCAGCTTAAATGATCTCAAAAATCCTAATTGTATATTGTCCTGATCTTTTCATGTCACCCCTATTTTAAAGCAAAGTAAGCTATTTTCGGACTCTCTTGCCTTCGAGGGGATATGTCTAAAAAGAGATGGTACACCCCCCACTCCCACTCCAAGGAACAATTTACAACAACAAAAAGCCCAAATAAAGAATATTGAGAACTTCTTACACAAAGGACTAACTTACTCTTTTTCTGATAAGTTTTGTATGTTTTCCTTCAGTTTTTTCAATTGAAATGCAGTCACATTTCAGTAAAAATAATTTGGCCCTGCTGTTTCCAAATCTATACAAAAGGCTTCCTCAAAGCAGACTTCTGTCAAGTGAAAGCTCAGTGGAAGTAAGTAACCAGCAACAGAATTCTCTACATTGTTTTACACCCCACACATATGGATCTGACATGCAGTCGGACAAATTTATTTTTGCTATCAGACATTCAAAGAACTGGTTTCTTTGCATTGATCCTGATGGACAGCAAATCAAGGGAAGACAAGCTGTTGTTAAAATCTTGTAAATGAATGCATAAACCTCACGAAACAATTCAAAATGTTTGCACCCATAAATATACTTATTTATTTATATTTTACTGTACCTACACTTTGCACTACATTGGAGACATAAAAGAAATTGACAATCTTAGCAGATACAATCCCCCCCCCAAAATATCTCAGCATAACCAATGACCCATGTGACATCATTGTTTATGGGAGACACATGTAACTTGTTTCCACTACAGCACTGTTGAAAATTTTTTTTACCAAAACATTTTAAGGAGGAAATCCCCTACAAGACACCGGATCTTAAACTTTAAAATGACATCTTCCCCAGCCTCGTTTCTCCTGCATTTGATTAAAAAATTCATTTATAAAGTCTTTCTAACGAGAAGAGAGAACACCCCCAAGAGGCATTTGACAGAGCAACTTTTCATTTTAGGGTCCCCTGCTATTTAGAGGGCGTATGTTCCATCCTACCTCATCCATCATCAGGTGGGAGTGCTGAGCCAGCTGTTCGGCTGCCCTGAGGTTGTGACAGAAGTGACCATTGCCCAGCCGCTGAGAACGCCACACGTAGGTTAGCTGGTACAGGACCAGGATACAGCTGTTCAAGTAGCTCGTCTCCGCTTCAAACGGATTCAGCAGAATCTCCTGCACCTGTTTGTTCACACACACACACACAGACATAAACAAACAGGGATAGCATACAAAGCCAGAAGAGCCAGCCACATTTTACATCTCAAAACCTGTTGAGCACATTGTTTAAATCAATCACTTTCTTAAAAATTTTAATGTAAACTTTGATGTCAAATATTAATGTAATATGGTTTGACTTTGATGCAGAAGAGTTCAGGTATATTTCTATTGACCGTGCATTACAAATTTTCAGCATCCATCTTTACTCTTTAAAAAAAGTCAAATCTTATTTTATCTTTGGGGGGGGAAGTGTTTTACGGCGCTTTGCTTCTGCATAAGGTCATATAGGCGCACGAGACACATCAAACATTTTCAGTTGGTAGGAAAATTTCAAATTTAGCCCAGGTGGAAGCCGAAGCCTACTCTTATCGATTTTCGACCACCAAGGGATCTTTAACATGCGCAATTTGCACACGCGACCTCCCAGATTTTTCGCCCTTGTCTGAGAAGGCTAGGTGTAGATCTTTGCTACCAGAAGAGCAGGGGTGTGGCTTAAAGACAGCAATAATAAGAAAGAGCCCAGGAGTAGCAGTAGAAAGGCTGCAGAAAGAGTCAGGAGTCCAGAGGAGGGGGCAAAAGAAGTGAGGGGGTAGGGGCAGAAAGAGGAGACGAAAGAAGATGACAGAACATTGATAGAGAGCAGGAAAGGAGGTGAAAGAAGATCCGGATTAGAACCCGAGACCAATTGAATGAGAGGTGAACACCTTAACCTCTAGGTCATGAGAGCCCCCATCAATTCTTTGTACTTTTTAAAGAAAAGTAATTTTTCAAAATGTCTTGTTCAAATTTGTTTTAAATTTTTGAGCATCCTGTCAGCAAAGCTGAGCTTTATGAAACAGAGTTCTGGTTTAAATGTTTAAAATTATTTGAGTTTTGAGTTTTATTGGTGGACAATTTTTTTCTTTTGCGGTCACCCTGTACTTGTACAAGCATATCCCCCTATTCTACATGTCAAAAATAGAACTACTTGTACTAATGTACCTTTAACCAATATCCCCTATTCTAGTTATCAAGAATATCCAGTTCTACAAATTAAAAACTACTTATCAAAAGAACACCCAACCAATCCCATTTATGAAAAGTATAGTCTAGAGGGCTCTCATGGCCTAGAGGTTAAGGTGTTTGCCTCTCATTCGAAGGTGCCCTGTTTGAATCCAGGTAGCAACCATATTTTCTTCTCTAAAATTGTCTCTTTTCCTGCTCTCTAGCAATGTTCTGTCATCTGCTTTCGTCTCCTCTTTCTGCCCACACCCCTCACCTCCTTTGCCCCCTCCCCTGGGCTCCTGACTCTTTCTGCAGCCTTTCTATTGCTACTCCTTTAGCCTTCTTACAGCAGTCTTTCAGCCACACCCCTGATCTTCTGAGCCTTCTCGGACAAGAGCGAAAAATGGAGGGCTCGTGTGCAAGTTGCGCACGTTTAAGATCCCTTGGTGGTCTGAAATTGATGAGAGTAGGCTTCGGCCGCCACCCGCGCAAAATTCTAAATTTCTTTTCAACTGAAAAAGTTTAATGTGTCCCGCGAGCTCATATGACCTTATGCAGTTGCGGGCGCTGTAATAGACTTAGATTCTTTTTTTTTTTTAAAGTATAGTCTACAAGTACACCATATACAATAATCTAAAGAATATCCATTTCTACTCATCTATAAGGTATGCCTTATTCTACTTTTCAAAACGGCTACAGAAAGTTCTTCATTTTTAGTCCATGGCGCAAACAATCATTGTGCATGAAGTCTTTTTTCTTCTTTCTAAGGACATACAGACCGTCGCCTTACCAGCAGCATTATGACATCATCTAAGAAACTTATTAAAGTAACTAACCAGGGTAGAATATCTTATGGGGAATGCAGAATTTTGAGTACAGATCAAACAGGGAAAGGACAAACTCACCAAAAGCACAGTATTTACTCTAAAAATTGGGGGAACAGAAAATTTCTGCTAAAAAATTCATGTTTACATCTGAAAACATTTATCATCCTATGATGAAATCTACAATTTACATGAAAATAATATGGACAGTCCAACCAGTGGAAAGCTGACGTCTGTTCGTGACAGAGAACCAAATCAACACAATGAGTCATCCAATGTGTGAAAAAACAAGATAAAGTCTGAGAAAAGAAAAGCATATCCACACCTGAAACTGCTGTATAGTGCAGGGAAAAAGTAAAATATACCTACAGAAAGAAAAAAAAAAAAGGGAAAAAAGAGAAGACAGACCTACCAGTGGTAACCTCCAACCATCTGCAATGATAGACAGGTAACAAAAATAGGAAGATCTCAGTAAAGAAGTAAGGTTTATAAGAGGCGACCTTAACAACCCTTGACAAGGAAGAAATCGCTCTCACCTTGGTGTGGGAGAAGTGCTGCTTGCTGTTGATCACACTGCGGAACACATCGGGCATCCCCAGTACATTCCCGTCTCTGTCCACCTGGATGGTCACTGAAACTGCCAGCCGGTCAAAGTCCGGCTTGAGACTGCAGATGTCCGTGCACACCTGCGGTGGGAACATGTGCTGGGGTTCTTTCCCCAGCGGCAGGAAGGTAGCGCCACGATGTGCACACTGCTGGTCAAGGAGGGACCCTTTGTCCACAAACGCCACAACATCGGACACATGCAGACCAATCTGGAGAAGATTCATCAGTACAACTGTGTTAACCTCAAGAAGAAGAAGAATATGTAGTAAAAAATGTTGCCTCACCTTTTGTGTGGTCAAGGTTCATTAGATCTGGACAAAAGAATGTCACCCCAGAGGATATTGTTGACACATCACATGCCCAAGAAAACAAATACATTCTTACATGCATCTAGGGAACAGACTTTCAGGTCACAAACTTTTTTTAATACATGTATTTGAAATTAAAACACATACAAAGCGAAACTCATAAATGACAAAAAAAAAGAAGATTTCCACATCCCACCAATTTCGCTATGTGTGTGCAATACTTAACTGCAACAGCAACATTAAATACCATGAAAGCAGAACGATACAGTAACATTTTCCAACTTGACATAAATGCGAAAACTCCTTTAAAAAATGGCTGGAAAAGTTGCATCACTAAAGACAAAGCATAAGTCCTATACAGAAGTGTGGTTGGAACCCTCACCTGGTACACATCCTCCACTTCCGTGACGCTGACAGCCATCTCCACTTCCTCCGAGGACTCTGCTCCCACTGAGAAACTGAACAGCGAGGTTAAGTCCACACGACCTTGAAACATGTGTTCTGGGACCGAGTAATCCGTGGGGAAGAGCCTGTCAGCTTCCTCCAGCACTGCGGGTCCCAGCGTCCTGTGCACATTGTACTCTGCCTCCAGCACCTGGGCAAGAGTAATAGTACAATCGAAATTGTCTAAATAAGCCACCCATTGCGGAGGAGAAAGGCAGCCATCTTAGACATCCAGACGTCTTACAGTGTCATTATAATGTAAAAAATACGCAGGGGAGGAAATGGGAAGTGTTCGTTTGTAAGAGTGATTGTTTTCTACAGGTGGCATTTAGAGCAGGTTGGATTTTAGAGCTCACAACCAAAAAGGTAGTGAGAGCCAGAATTATTGAAACAGCATCGGGCCATATGAAGACCTCTTACTCGTAACTTCAGTGAAAAGACACAAACTGAAGTGTTACAGACACATCACACAATCATCTGGACTGGCCGTGACTCTCCTATAGGGAACAGGACAAGGAGGGAGAAAAAGAGGCAGACAGACAAAATGATGGGAAGAAAGCATCAAAGAGTGGACTGGCCACGACAGGAACATCTTACTACAGAAAGCTGAGACCCAAGAGGAGCAGATCAAGCTGGTTGCAAAATCTGCAGTGGTCAGCTAGACTATGGGATAGATGAAGGTGAAGAGCTCACAACATCCGTATTTTCTGTCACTCGCACAGGCATCAGTCACTCCTGCATGAATTAACCTAATGCATTATGTGCTGTCATCCTGTTTTTTATGAAGTAAGAGTGTTACTGCACTTGCACTACACTACAATTACATCTACAAGAGAGTAATAAACACTCAAAGTAAAAAATGTAGCAGTTCAAGCAGGAGAATGGCTAATTGTATGAGCTATCCATGATTTCAAAAGTTGCATGCTCGTGTTATCAATGCCAAACTGCATTTGTTTTCTATCTTCTGCTTTTTCTTTGCATTCCCAATTTGTTTATAATTCATCTTAGGCCGCATCATGGTGAAATATTTTTTTCCTGACTGTTTTCTAAGAATGTAAATAGTTGTCATTTGTTGGAGTAGAACTTTTAGATTGATGAGCCCAAGTTTCCTCCTCTCCTACAAGTCACAAGGCCTATAAACTTTTTTAAGTCCCCTAAAATAACAGGCTTTCCTTTCCTCACTGATAGATCTAAGACATTTGTTAAAATACTCATTCTACAATGGTGACTTTGTAAGTACAAGCCCCTAATCTACCTGGTCAGGCAAGTACAACAGCTACAGCTTTCAATATACATTTAACTACCTACTATCTCTTTACCCCTCTTTTTAAAAAATGAAGATTTTGGTACAAAATATCCAAGTAATGAGGAGACCCAATCATCTAATTTTGGTATCATGCTCTGAGTTATGGCACAAACGGCTCTGGTTTCAATCTAAAAAAACAGGTTCTTGAACTTGAGATGTCTGGGAAGTTTTCAAGGCTTTCCATCCACTTGGCTCTGTTCTACTGAATTAAGGATTGAACAAAGCCTGCAATCTAAATTACCTCAATTGTGTCCATGGGAGCATTTAACATTAACAATTTATCAGTCAATCAATCTAATTTCCACAAAACTGACCTGCATTCCTTTGTCTAGGGTGTCATCTGTCTCCAGAACACCAACAACAATTCCAAAGGGCAGCTTGGCAGTGGGTTCCCACGTAAGGTACCTCACTACAAACATCTGCCTGGTCTGCTCACCTTCCTGAACATGTTCGTAATGGCTAAACTCAACACTGCCAGGGGAGACAAATTTGTACACACTCATGTTGCCTCGACGCACCAGCTTCAGTCGTGGAGCAGACGTGAGGCAGTATATTGGTGGAATGTCTGGATTTACAGGGGACAGCACTCTGCAGTCCTCTGCATTGGCTGTACACACAAACAGCCGCCCTTTGGGGTCCAGCGACCTCTGAAAGATTCCCTTCACCTGAAAGGAACCAAAATGACATTGTTATCGGTAAAGGACAAAGAAAGATACCTGATAGATCCCTATACAGACATCTGTTTCCCAATATGCATAGTAGTCAGGGTATAACAAATAAGCAAATTCAAACTGTATGCAGGTCATAGCCAGTTGCTGAGGAACAGCACCTTGTGGAACAGCACCTTGTGTTTTATAGAAAAGGTCCATGTGTAGTGAACCAGTTCCCTAACCACATTAGAACTTGGTCCAAAATAATATAGCATACTTCTAATATAGCAAAAAGTTCATAATGCGCTTTACAATATAAACAGAAATATTGTAATACATAACATAGAAAATAAAGCATTAGAATGAAGCCCCCCCCCCCCCCCCCCCCCCCAAAAAAAAACCCTCTCTCTCTCCGATCCATTCCACCTGCTAAAGACAGTGCACCAGCAGTTGGATTTTAGTTGCAGCGGGAGGGTTCGCCGCCGAACGCCTTATCACGTCAGGGTCACAGGGGTCAGCTCCCTGTTACTGCTCTGTCTGGGCCAACTTAATTTTTGGTACTTTTCAACTTGTTTTTATGGTAATTATCATTTAATGCACCCAAAGCACCCATTTCTGCTCTTGAGACTAAAAAAAAAAAACGGACATTGCAACTTGTCTGGTTATTTCGTTAGACGCGCTGAAGTCGGCAATGCTAAATTGTAAAATTTTTGAACAAATGTGAATTAAAAAATATCAATATAAAAAAAACCCCGGCACAACAAAAACTGTCGAACTTTTGGAACATGAACGACATAACAATGGTGCAGATACTCAGAAAGGACTGTATCTGCGCATATAATAGAAAGCTGTAATTTTGCAACTTTATCGATCTGGCACACAATTCGCTAAGAAGTAATTCCTCCAAATACAACTTTATGTGTCTAATACAATCATGAATATTCGCATATTTTCTTGAAAGTTTATAAAAATTACCCTGTAGTCTCTCTTTGAAGAAGTACAAATCCATTTTAGTGCCAGAACTGCAATACACGAATAGTATCTGTTACACTCAAGAATTCTTTACTTTTCTTAAAACGTTAAGTCTAGGTTTTGTAAGTTGACTGAATAAGAGGGATGACTTCTTGTAGTTGGGTTATACGAATAATTTAACTAGCTTTCTAGTGACACTGAATCAGCACTAGGCTTTTCCAGCTTTTACTTTAATTTCTATGACCATTTGCAATAACTGACAATGTACTATTTCTTTACATTCTTATCTTTAAGTGTCCGCATTTATTTCCGACACAAAAACTAAAAATGAATGTGTTAGCTGTCATTATTTTTATTCCATACAAGAAGTTTATCTCTACCCATGTATTTACAGTTTTATGTTATATCTTTCTTAGTTGTATGCAGGCTCCCACAGATACAGCATGATTCATGAACAAACGCAAAGTAACTTTCTCTAGTTTGATAGTAAAACAAGAGGCCTAGTGTCTCCTGTTAAAAAATACAGATGTGCATCTTTCTTCTCTTATAACTTGACTATTACTACTTGCGCAGATTTAGGATATCTCATGGTAAAAGACATGATATTCGTAATCAGTGTGACACATATTTTGGAGAGATCTGTTGTTCCGTTTTTAACTAAACAATCATTTATTCATAAGTATGTAACTAAAATAGGACAAATTGGGTACTCTATATACACTTGTTTAAAAAAAAAATTAAGGCACAGAAATTAACCATTCTAACGCAGAATAAATTTCAAGACATTGAGCTTTTAGTACACCAGTGTACTAGTTTGCTGGGTGGGATGGGAAAGAAGTTATATCGTTTCAAACGAAGACAAAAATGCAAACTTCTCAACCGACACCGCTTCTGGGCTCATTAACCCCATGACCCCGAGCCCGGGAGCTCCGGCGGGCTGCTGAGCCATGCTAACTAAAAGTAACAGAATCGGGTGAAAAGTGACGCCGTGAAGAGAGCAAATTTCTAATCATCTTCCTTAATGTCAAAGACAATCTCTACCTTACACAAAGTGACCTTACCTGTCCCAGTGGCTTCCCCCTTTCTGACTGACCAATCAGCGCCACTAAGACAATGTCACCAACAAAGGCATGTCCACAGTACAACGGGCCTGGTATCTCGATGTCAGCACCAACACTGAAGCCAGCAGGGATGGAGAGGTCTGGAAGTGGCGGGAGGACAGTGGCATACCAGCCTCCATTGGAAAAGAGCAGAGAGCATCGTAGGAACTGTGGGTTCTCGGCACAGAGGGCTTCCTTCAGCGCCGCAGGGCCATAATTCTCAAACTGCTGTGTCATGCCTTGGTCCTTGTTCTCAATCAGGAAAGCCATGAAGTCTTCACTCTCAGGAGTTAATCTGAAGGGAACCTTTGGCTGGTCAGAGGTGTCGTACTGAAGAACAGCAAACCCATCCTTCAGCTCGATGTGCACACTCTCCAGTCTAAGCCCCACATCAGTCTTGGCTGCTTCCTTTGCCAGGTGGAGGATGACATCCTCACTGGCAACACTGGAGCTGAGAGCCAGGTCGTCACGGCTGAACTGTCTCGCTACGCCCACCACACGGCTCTTGGCCAGCACACTCGACTTGACACTGAACAGATGCGGATCAGACACAGGTTGAGCAGTGGGTGGCGCCACCTTATGGTTGGTCTCTGCACGTTCTGAAGGCATGTTCTCTTTCTCACCAGAAGACACGGTCTCACCTACAGCGTTCTCACTCTGCTCTGCAGGAACTTGGCGTTTCTTCCTTCGAATAATCTGTTTGAAGTTTTCTTGACTGCGCTTGCCGATGAGCTCTATAATTTTCCCAGCTGGGCTGATCTGGATCTGTATCACCTGGTTGCGGACAAACTCGTAATTGACATTCTGCGGCCGCATGCTCCCCATGTTGGAGCAGTGCTTGATGAAGGTCCGCCACTCCTGTATACATTCCCCAATGAGGCACAGCGCCACAGGATCCCCGACCACCGCCACAAATGACTGTGCGCGCGTCAACGCTGTGTTGATCAGCTTGGGGTTGGACAGGAAGCCCAGGTCACCAATGTCCTCACCAGTTTCCAGCGCTCTAACCAAGTGGTCTTCCTGCAGCAGATTTGTGCTGCGTACCGTCGACAGAAAGATTGCACGATACTCTTGACCTGAAGGAGGACAGAATCACAGATGGAAGAGACAAAACGCGTTTTTAGTTTTTAAAAAAAATAATCTTTCAGCCTTCTATGAAGAAAAAGGAGAGAGCATGCTTTGCTTGGGAAGAAGAGAAGTACACACATACTATGACAGCCATTTAATGATAAGGAAAAATATACTCAGTATAATAACAGACAGAAAATACAGACGAGAAACAGAAAAGTAGAACAAAACTACAGTTGAAACTATTTAAGATGGCCACCTACTGTCGAGGAAAAAAGTGGCCATCTCACACAGCATCATTGTAATGTAAAAAATACGCAAGAAAGGAAATGGGAAGTGGCCTTTGTTTTTGTTTTAGTAAGGTTTTACGGCGCTCGCAACTGCATAAGGTCATATGAGGGGTGGATGTCAACAGAGAAGTCCAAACGGAGAATCAGGCTTACTCTGCTCACCTCTCTAGCCTCAACAGCACGAAGTCTGCTTTGACTATCAAGGCACCCCGGAAATAGCAGTTCACAAGAGAGTGACAAACATACAAAAGAAGTAGAGGCAAAAATGATGATAGTAAGGATGAGGAAAGTAAAAGCAGCCGTTACCCTTATGTTGTTCCAGCACAGTATGAGCATGACATTGATAAATCAGCCCATTTACAATTCTACTGTGCATAAGAACATGTTATTATCCCCCCTTTGGGAATGACCTAAAGACACTTCAGTCAGTGGCACTGCCCTGGGGGG